GGATAAAAGGTCCGTTCATTATCCGAGTAAATAACCGACGCAAAAATTTTACTTCGCGTAATGAACGCCCCCCCCTAACTTTGCATCGATTTTTCGGGAAAAAAAGTGCGTTCATTCTGGGAGTAAATACGGTACTTTGTGGTGCGTAGGAATGCTCTTCTCGAAGTTGCGAACCGTCCCTCAGCCTTTGGCTGGTTCGGATGGAAGCTGAAACGAAGTATTAGCCCCGAGAGCGAACACAAGCATCGCTGCGGTCGCCACGCCCTGATTGGGTGAGGTGTACCGTGACGTCAGGGGGAGTACTCCGCTCCGCGATCTCGCATCGGCTCGCTTCCCAGCACCGATTTCCTGGTTTGGCGTTGTGTGTCGCAAGCTCTTCGAGGAGCTGGACTTCGTCTACCCGGTGTACAAGACGTTGAGTTAGGCCGATATTGACGTGCTTCCGTACATTTTATAAGCCTGCTTGTCCCTTGTCCCAAATTGGGTAACAAATCCTGAAAGCTATCGGCGGAGGCAATTCCGCCGATGAACCTCCTCGTCCGTCCGCTAGACACACGGCAATCTTGCGAGGGGTCGGTGAAGCGGTGGCGCAAGTGTTTCAGACGCTAGAATTCCGTTCCTTGCATGTTCATGATTTAGGACGATATTACATCCCGCTTTCAAGGCATTTGAATTGGCATTTATATCATGGGCCTTTGGGAGGTCGGCAAATTAGCTCGCGACCCCGACTCTGCGCTGCCACTCTGTATGCGCTGGTTCGCATATGTTTTAAAGGCCCTACGTCTGATGATCTTTAAAGTGCTCGTTGAATAGCGTTGTTTTACATAAATGTAGCTTCTTCGTGAATTAATTATATAGTTTATACACTTATGCAGGCATATTTCTTAGAAGATGCACGATTACTGGAAATTAGTTTGTTTGGTAGCAGTAAAAACGGCTGAATTGCCCCCAGTTGCTTGTATTATATGTATTGAACTGCCAAAAATATGCACAGCAATAGTGCCGTAATTTGAAATGGTTATACTTTTTCCTGACATTCTTTATTCCAGCCTTTGGTATTCGGAAAATACACCGTTGGGTCTGAATTGTCATTTCCAATTAAAAGAAACACTGCTGCAGGTCCCCAAAAGCTTCCTCAGCCTTCACACTCCCTACAGCTGGACTCTCTGACAGCAGAGGAAAACAGGAGTAAAAGCAAGCATTCGAACGTCTGTCCAGTGGTAGGTGCAGCACTAGTAGCAGAAAATGTGGAACCTGTGAAGGGCGACAGTCTGCGTGAGAAAAGCTTCTGATATTTTAGCTTCAGGACAATTCGATTTAAGTAAAATCTCAATTTTAGGGCTTAAGGGACTAATAACGAGGTAGACACCTTCGTTTATGTTTTTTATACATTACTCGAGGGTTGATATAAACAAGTTCACAGATACCACCTATGTAGTCCATTAAAATACTATCCGAATCCAACAAAGGTCAAATGCGAGCAATGTATATTATAAATGTATCTTGTTTTTTTACTTTGCCCCCGCAATTGGGCTGTCGTACTTGTGATACTCTCCCCATGGCTCAGACTGTATTTAGTATGTTGCTCGAACAACATGCAGCTTTTCTGCTTCGGCGATCTTGTTTAAAAACAGAGATACGAAAAAAAAAATAGTATACATAACCTGCTCATTCATTCAGACCATCAGCAGCATGTATTGTGCGAAATGTAAATCTATAGTGATGCTCCTGCAATTGTAGCCATATTTCTTTATTTTCATATACCAGCTGCGATTCATGCGTTGCCTGCCCTGTCAACCATGCTTCAATAGTTGGTTGAAGTTTCGCCTGTAGCTACAGGCCATACCTCAATAAAGGCACATATAAAAATTTACACTTCCTACAGAAAACACGCCAAGAAAAGATTAAATAGAAACGAGCGCGCCGACAGCTAGCGTCGTCACAGCCTCCACAGGGCGACCGGGGCGAGTCGGAGAAAAATTCTCTCCTCGCCGTGACGTCACCCCGGTTCGCCGTGAGGGGGCGCCACGCGAACTTCTCGGGGCTAATAGGAGAAAAATACAGAGGAACTTTTTTTTTCTTTTTTTTTTGCACAGCGCAGTTTGGTTATGGGGTTGCGCGCCGCGCGCAAGGCGATAGGAAAGATAAGCCGAAAAGCCCTTGCCTAAGCAACGCCTAAGCAAACAAAACAGCTTTAGAAAGGCGGAAAAAAAAAAAAACCAACGGAACTAAGAAAAAAACAAAGAGGAGCTTTTTTTTTTTTTTTGCACAGCCCAGTTTGGTTACGGGGTCGCGCGCCGCGCGCAAAGAGATAAGAAGTTGAGATAAGAAGTTACATCGATTTTTTAGGATAAAAGGCCCCTTCATTATGTGAGTAAATACGGACACAAAAATTTTACTTTGCGTAATGAATGCCCCCTCCCCCCCAACTTTGCATTGATTTTTTGGAAAAAAAAGTGTGTTCATTGTGCAAGTAAATACAGTAAAATATAATAAGCTCGTGACATACCTTACCTCTGGTTGTCTCGGTCACGAGCAATCTCTCTAAAAACACATAATCCTCTCACTAACTCGCGCGCAGCGGTATTGGCGGTATCGCTGGTATAGCCAAGCCTCGCCGTCTCCCCGCGACCTCGTTTCCCTCGCCTTCTCCCCACTGCCTCCTCTCTCGCACCACGGCCGCTGCGCCATCTCTCATGCTCAGCGCAAAACGGCTACGACGGTCGCTCATGCAATCCAACAAGTGCTGCCCACGTTACGTGTATGCATCATCTGCGCGCTTTCTCTAACAAGCTATGAATCGGAATGCATGCCTAGCTGAACAACTCTATTCTCCACCGTCGACGACGTTTCTTGCCAAAGTGTAGTCTGGTCGTATTTCGCCGTCACCCTCCCAAGGCTTCTCGAACAACTGCTGCAACCGCGCTCTCTCTTGCTGTCTGAAAAGAATGTTGCCACTAGCTTGCCTGCACTTGGACCATTGTTTTGTTGCCTGTAGACTAATCTGGCGGATCCGCTACAACCAAGGTGCGGTGCGCAACCAGCCGCAATGCTTCGATACTCTGTCTCAGAGGAAGCGCCAAGATGGAGCTCCTTCACTTCGTTTTCGGACTTGTGATGGCAGTCCCAAGGAGTTCGACCCTTAAACCACTTGTACTTGGCTACAGAAGATTACCAACCTATCGTTGTCATTTATCGTCTTCTTCATACGTGAACCCGAGGACGGCGTCCGAAGCGCGTCGGACAATATTTACCACAATGATTTTAGCCCGAGTCTCGGGTTAAAATCATCATTGTGAGCTTCCACCAGCTCACCTGCACACTGTCCGTAATTTCGGACAATATTTAGTTGTTTTTTTACGATAGCTCGTCACGCTACAAAGGGGCTCCAGGATTTTCTATACCTTCCGTCTCTCAAAATTGAGTACCCCTAAACTAAACCAAAAGTCTGGCTTTGGCCAAATGTATGAATTGAGCTGAAAAGGCATAGATAAAAGTATAGTTCTTTTTATTCTGCCACCGTGTCACTCTTACACACTGACCAGTAGAAAGGGGTTTTCACCGTCCTTAAAACCCGTCTAAAGGGGTTTTCACCGTCCTTTTATTTACAGAAGTCAATAAAATAAGTGACCAGACTCTACTAAACACCTGCTTGTCCAAGATGTTGCACTGGTGCGACTCGTGGCAGATGTCATTGAATGTCAAGAAGTGTGTTCGAATGCATATAACTCGTAAATTAAGCCATCTCTTTTTTATTATTCCATTAATAGTACTTTACTAGCCGAAGTTACTTCTAAATACTTGGGTGTCATTATATCGAATGACCTACGCTGGAACACTCATATTATGTCTAGTGCGCGCAAAGCACTATCCAAGTTATGGTACTTAAGACAAAATTTAAAGCATGCCTCTTCTGATAACAAATTGACAGCCTATAAAATTTTTATATTACCCATCCTAGAATATGCTTCGGTGGTTTGGGGTCCGTTTACAAATACCAACATAAATGTCCTTGAAAATGTTCAAAGAAAAAGTTTACGCTTCATTCATAATAAATTCCAGTGAAGATATCCCGTCTCTGAACTGTACGCCCTTTCTGGGGTGAACTTACTAAAGCATAGGCGCATGTTTACGCGAATAAAGTTTCTATTTAATCTATTAAACAACCGGTTCAAAATCAACATCTCTAAATATATTTCACCCCCACCTCAAAATTATCCCACGCGAAGTTATCATTGCAAAACGCTCAAAGAATTCAACTGTCGGATTAATGCATTTAAGTATTCTTTTTTTCCAAGGACTGTTCACGACTGGAACTTCCTGCCAAGCGATATAATAACAGCATCACCAGAGTCGTCCTTCTTTCATAATCCATTTTGAAAAACAGCGCGAATAACACACGGACAAGAAGGAGAGAACACACAGGACGAGGCGCTGTCAAAACACGGACACTCCTTCTTGTCCGTGTGTTATTTGCGCTGTTTTTCAAAATGAATTCATACCAACTCGCCCAACTTTCCATTCTAGTAAGCTTCTTTAATAAACTCCGCGATTTTTGTGATTCTTGTATATCTGATGCTCCTTTATTAATTTTTTGCAATGAAGATAGTCTTTGTATAACACTGTTTTTTTTTTCTTTTTTTTTTTTCACATGTTTAATCCTTCGTGTGTTTTTGGATCAGCTAGAATGAATATCCTTGTGCTTGTTACGTGCTGTTTTTTATTCTTGTTTTTGTGTACCATATGTTGTAAACCACTCCTACCACGTCTCCTGAAATAGGAGACAGTAGTATCAATAAATAGATAAATAAAAATCGCTTTGCTTTCACATAAATTGTTGATTCCATGCCGAAATGTAATAAATCTAAAGTGCTTCGCCTGCCGAACGATGAAAGCGGCCTGCTTTTGTCCGCCATTGCGCCCCCTCTATAGTCCGCCAGAGTACTTGGTGGCTGCTCGCCATCCCAAAAGTGAATGTGTGCCCTTGGTTCTCGTTGCAGAACCCTGGCAGCGCAGTTCGGTTCTGGATCACACTGCCGGTCGACTTTTCCAGGCTCCCTCCAGTCTTCACAAAGGTTTCTTATGTTGCGTTTGCGATCGCTCCACAGACTTTACTCAGTTAAGCATAGATAGACTGCAAAGGGCTTGTACCTCAATTTTTCTGCACTTGCTTTTCTCGTCTGCTTCTAGAGCATCTACTGTGCAATCTATTTACAAGAGCCCAACTTATCAGAACCAACCGTTAAAAATAAAACGCCCTGTATATAAGATAATACTTGGCTAGCGTCGGTGGCAGTCCACTTATAATGAGCTATTAATATGCCAAACATTTGTTAAAATGGATGTTTGTTGTAGTAGTGGGTTACTATATACATATTACTTTTTTTCGGCATAAAGCTCGTCATTTGTGGCAAACGAGGGTATATTAGTTTCAAGAACCGGGTATTTGTGAGTAAATAGAGCCGTGTCTTTATCACTGCCAAAAAGAACTGTTACGGTACTTGTTGAATGCTTAGTCTCCGGCCAAATGTTACGCTGGCGGTTGGGAACAAATGGCGGATTCTCGGAACTTATTGTTATCTGATTCAAAAGTTACAGAGTGTTGAGCGATGCATAGATCACTTTTACGATGAGAAATCCTCAGTTTTTTTTTGCTCCCAAACACCCGGTACATCTAGCATAATAGTTTGTTTGTACATACACTTTGACTTTCTTCTATGGTCCCTGTCATTAGGGTGCACGAAACATTCCTTTTTCTCTCTGTTATGGCTTTGCATATTTCGGCCAGTAGATTTAGGCCGGAGGGCAAAAAGGCAACGGCTTTTGTAACTGCCTACTTTCAAAGCGCGTTAGCTGTATGTGCACCTTTCCCCTTCAAACTCCTATTATAAGCCTTCTCCTTTTCTGTGGTGAGTGCCACTGTATTTTTGAACAGTTGTCACTCTTTGCTGGAAGATACTAACATGGTTATGTCTGTGTTGAATAGGTTTCAGTAGTTATAAATTTTTTTAAGCTCCTGCCTGCCCTAGAGTGTGGATGTGCACATTCCCCGGGGTTTTTGGTGTGACACGTAACACACACTTCAGTATAACATGCCACCTTGCATTCTCAAAGCAAATAGTTATACTAGTAATAGAAGGTAACTCTACAAAACCTTATTAAGCTGGATAAGAATGTGCAGAGACCCTCAATCAATTCCCCAATATTCGTGCGTTCAGCTCCGACTGCTTGTTTTTGTGGTGCGATGCATAAGAAGCAGCATCAACTCAAACATTGCTCTGAATTGAGTTAACTGAGTGGAGTAGACTATTGGGCTAGTTGGTTTTGGAACTTGGAACAGATTTTAGCACTCAAAACACAAAGACGAGAACACATTCTCGTCTTTGTGTCCTTGTGTTTTGAGCACTAAAATGTATTCCACGTTAATTGAGTGATTGAAAAAAAATCTTTCACATCTCCTTTTCATGTACAACTAAACACCATCACTTCTTCGCATCTTACTTCAAAAGGGCTAATTTTACTTCTTAGGCTAGTGTCCCAAATGAACATCTGCCACCAGACTAGTAGTTTTGACAATGACCTTTCAATTCTGAGGAAAGAAAAACAAAACTGCCGCTCGCTTTTTTGTGTTAATGGTGTTGTGCTGTGTATGTATTATATGCTGCTGTTTCTGGTACTTTGTCTCAAGAGCTGTTTTTGTGGCCCCAGGAAAACTTGTCGGAAGACACGGCCATCCTCCAAGTGACGTTCCAGACCCCCGAGGGAAGCCGTATCTTGCCTCAGCTTTTCCTTTCACCACGTGTTGAAGAGTACGTCTTCTCTTTCCCAGTTATTCACCGTGCTGTGTTTACCAGTGCGACACGCAAAAAAATTCATGGTATGTCGGAGAAATTTATTTATTTGTCTATACTCTCAGCATTCTATAGACCAGGGGTGGCCAAGCTGCGGCTCTTCACAAAGTGCGGCTCGCAGTTCCCCCCCCACCCCCCCCACCCCCCCACCCCTACCCACCCTCCCGGTCACACGAGAACTTCCCCTAAAAGAGAAATGGAATGTGTCTTAAATCGAAAGACAGGTTGCGGTTTGGTAGTCTTGTGCTATTGCTACCTTACGTACAGTTGGATTTTAACTCAGATAGATTAAAAGTAGTTCGAGTTTCGTTTATGGCTCCAGACAAAAGTTTGCCCCCCGCGCGCTCTTGGAAGTTTCATGGTTTTGTTTGTGGCTCTTAGGCCAGGTCAGCCTGGCCACCCCCGCTATAGACGTTTGCAAGTACGGCCTCTGGGCGCCGCCATCTTGCTGCCTGTGTGGGTAGCTCGTCTGATAGTCAAGCATTGCTGAGGCGTACCCACGGTTTCCAGACCGGCGCCCAAGCAAATCGTTTTTCATCCACGGTGGCCAGACTAGCTCTCGAAGCACGGCTGCTTGCAGACGTCTATATAAACACCAAGACAGGAAAGACATAAAACAAAAAAGACTAAACAAATTGTAGCAATGCAATGCAGGCAACTACTGTAAACTTTTGTTATAACAAAGCGAATGGGATACACAAAAAAAAGAATTATATAGGGTTCTCGCACAAGACCATGATGCAACGCTACTTCTGGTTTCGGAAATCTCGCCGGAGCCTGCCGGAATCCATGTTGGAGGCGTTCGTCGATGTTATGCTATGTTATGTGTGCTTTGGGCCATGTTCGCGCCATAGTTTGTCCGCTCACTCAAGGATTAAAATGGTCAGTTGCACCGACAGTAATTGTTCCAGCCGTAAAAGTCGGCAACAAAATGGAGCTACGGCCAGCAGTATTGTTTCTTTTAGAACTCCAGCAATCATTAGGAACCAGGACAAGGCGGCGCTGGGGCAATCAGCTCGTCGGCATCACGAATGGCTCCGAGGGATACGCCAGCACAATCTTGACAGAAAAGCTTTGTACTAACTAAGGGTTTGTGGACTGTACTTCCTGTCAGGTGAAGAACCTCTTTGTGATTGGCTGGGACAAGTAAAGCGGATGAAATTACTTGCGCGACAGTTTCTGTCTTCGTCTGTGAAGCCAGTCAAAAAGTTGAAGGACTGGCTATAGTGCCGACAAGCTGCGCACAATATCCCCCAGTGATTTCACGTATACGTAAAATTGTCAGGGATTGCCAAGAAAAATGAGAAGAAACTGTATAATTGTCAGACAAAATCAGGGGAACCTGGGGAAATGTCAGAAAAATTAGGAGAACGGGGAGATCGCCTGGGAAAATCAAAGAACCCGGAAACTTCTCAAGCAAAATTAGGAGGACCTGCGAAATTGTCAGGGAAAATTGGGTGAACCTGGAGAATGTAGGAAATTCAGAGAACCTGGGGAATTGTCAAAGAAGGTTGGAAGAATGTCAGGAATTGTCAGGGAAACTTGGGAAATTGTCAGCAAAAATTAGGAGAGCCTGAGGAATTATTGGTTAGCGGTGCACCTAAAGCATGTATTTATTTATTTATTTATTTATTTATTCAACGTGAAGGAACTTCAAGAAACGAGTTTTAGAAAATATGTAGAAATCAGATTGTCTTAGTGAACAAAGGAAGAATTATTACGAAATTTAGACAGGCTTGAAAAATTTGGACTTTTATTGTCAAACCTGGAGAGTTCGGCAACTGCCGGGGAATTTTGGTGAATCTAAAAAGTGCTGCCCTGTTGTTACCTTTTTCTGCCAAAAAAAAAAAATTGGCTTGCTGTGTATGTTTATGCAGCCTTGGTGGAGATACGTCTCAACAGCTAATCGGTCTCTTAGCTGTAGGTGAGAAATTTAGCCAATGCAGTACAACCACTAACTTGGGGTTTTTAACGTGCATCACGCGGTAGTGATTACACGAACGCGCGCCAGTATGAAACTCATCCAGATCGAAACGGGCGGGGGGGTGGGGATCGAACCCAGGAGGTTCCCAGCGCAAGCTTTCTCTCCATGCTCCGAGCTGAGACGCATTAGCCCACTCGGCCTTTCCTCCTCTTTCTGCCAGGGTGATGCCCTTTCATTTAAATAAAGCCTCCTAGTGTTTTAAGGGCGAAGCTCCTTAGGGTCTAGCCTTGTCCGTCCGGCCTCATATCGATTGCCATCCCATCTGTCTTCTTAAAAAAAGAAAAAATGTTTGCTCAGTCGACAGGATTCGAACTTGTGCGGGGAGACCCTAATGGATTTCTAGTCTATTGCCTTAACCACTCAGCCACAACTGCGGGACGGGTAGGGGGCTCTGGGATGTGGTAGTAACTCAAGAGCTGGGGATGTCATGGATGAAACATTGCATGTAGCCACTCAACGTCTATACAGGAGAAGGCGCTGTGGTCAAATGCGTATGTAATCGCGTTAAACTTTGCATGCATTGGCTCAACGTTTATAGACGAGAGGGCACTGCGGTCAAATGCTCAACTGCCTATATAACCATGATCCATACCACACATTCTCTTTCTGACATGGACCGTTGACTTAAGCGGTGGAGATGTGTTCCCACGGCTTCTAGCAGATCCAAGCTGATCAGCTAGAAGAACTATTGGCTCTGCATTTCACCGACCATAAAGCAGTAATAATGAAGTCGAAACGTAACCCAGAACACAGCACTACCTATGGGCAATAAAAAAAATCAGCACCACCTATGAACAAAATCAGTATCATCAGCACCACCAGAGCTTCGCCCCAATCAACATCATTCACCACATAAATATGCGGTCAATTTTTTTTTTTTTTTGTTTCTTTTTTTAATCTTAAACCGACAGACACGAGTCCGTAGGTGCATGATACAGATACCAAAATGGCGAACGTAAACAAACGGTCACGATGGTGATGGGGCTAGCCACCCTATACCGAGCATTGAGCTTCTCTTGAGTTAAATACAGAGTTTGGAGTTTGCAAATATCGAATAAACGAACGCACCTTGACGTGAGGTTGACTTCCTGCTTTTCCTTTTCTTCTTCCGGCGCACGCACAATCGGCAGATTACGCGACCCGGGAGGGCGTTTTTACTTTTGTAGTTGTGTTTCCTTCCCTGCCGCGCCATCGTGGAAATGACCTTGAGCGTCTCCCAGAGTGCTGTGCCCAGAATGTAACTTTTTAAATTTTTTTTTTCTTTTCACTTATTTTTTTTTTTTTCGAAAACAAATTTTGTGTTCGTTATAACGGTATGATGCTTTGAAGAACGGTCTTTTTATCTGGACCAATCTTAGCTGGTTGTTATAACCGAAAGGTCGTTATATGTGGGATCGTTATAAGTGGGTTTGGCTGTAATGCCATAGTCACCCTCCTCACCCTACAACCCTACACACTTTCCTCCCCTCGTCTCAAGGCACACCACCAATGTTTGCCATTTTCGTGCAAAATATGTTTTCAAACACTGCCTACCCTTGGCAGGGCCACATAATACTTGGAAAGAAAAGTACCTCTCTTCAAGCTAAACAAAGAAAAGCAAAACAAGCGGCGTCTCTGTCGTTACGGAGCCGCAGTGCGCCATTGAGTCTGGCAGCCCCTACTTCGGCTCAGCTTTGAACGGCACATACCAAAACCAGACCGAATGACAGCAAGCAGCACCGTGAGGTGAACCCGCAGGATCTTTCTGAGTGGGTGATAACAGTTATATTTATGAGTCTGTGATATTTCATACCGTAGAAGTTGGTGACATCGGTGATATTTCTGAGTCCGTCATATTTCGTGATGTTTTTAAGTCTGTGATATTTCCTTATATTTGTGTATCGGTAATATCGGTGATGTTTAGTGAGTTGGTAATATCTGATATTTGTGAATCTGTGATATTTCGTGATATTTTTTAGTTGGTGATATCGGTGATATTTGAAAGTCTGATTTTGGTGATATTTGAAAGTCTGATTTCAATGATATCTATGATATTGTTCATGATGAAAGTCTGAGGTAATATGAGTTAAAGGGGTCATGAAACGCTTTTCCAACTTTTTCCTGTTTAACTTTCCTCCTCAACTCATAAATCGCGCATTCTACCAAACAGTTCAAGAAGACGGAAAGGGGGAGTCCCCTCTTGCTCGGACTCTCGTTTGTGTAATCCGGACGCATCCATTCTTCTCCTAGAAGATTAGCCCGTCGCTCAAAATTCAGACAAAAGTTGCTTTCCCCAACCCGTTCACCCCGAAGCTGACAGTGCTGTGGAAGCTACGTGCTCGTTGAGCCAGCCAGACTTGCCACGCGATCATGCTCCTTCACGCATACCCACGCGCAGAAAATGAGGTCAGGCGATGAAAGGGAGGCGGCTGGTTGGTCTGGCAAGCGCGTAGCTTCCACCACAATGTCAGCTTAGGGGTGAAGGGAATAAGTGAGGTCCGGTTTCGTGTGACGTGCGTTTGGACCCGGTGACGCGCTTTTGGGACCGCGGATGTATCACAGTGAAAAGGCAGAGAGCTTGCGAAGGGGAGGAAACATGAAATAGTCCGCTGTGTTTTCAAATTTTCGCACTGAAAGTCAGGCTTTTGACTTTCTATCTTTTTTCTTTTGGCCCACTGAACCGATGTGCTATTATTAAAATCCCAATCTAAAATGATTTATCCCAACCCAAACTTTGTTTCATGGGCCTTTTAAGGTGGCGATGCAGGCGAGTTGGTTCACGACGTAAGAAATTAGGAACATAATATGAGTGGCAGGAATTTTTGAATCTAGACGAACTTTGTGATATGACTGATGGTGATTTTTGATTTTGGAAAAATTTGTGATACGAGTGTGAATGAATTCTGGAAAATCTTTGTGAACGTGATATGATATTGAGTGACTCCAATCCAAAATGCCATCCTTTTTTATCGATAACAGGAGGTTGAGAGGTTTGCTGCATGCCCTGTGGCAATTACTGCACATTTATTCTGAAATGAAAGCGATTTATGCTGCAATTTAAGTCAAAGCTGAAGTTTTGGAATAAATCATGGGTTCTAGATTTTGCGACGTGGTGGGATCTCAATATAGATTCCAATGTGTTTACATTTTACCAAAATTGTTCGCAGGACCTATTTTTCGCAAATTGTAGGCGATTTGCGAAATTAGGTCCTTGTGAAAATTAAGTCGTTTACAGTATGCTAAATCCTGCCCAATTTCAGTTCGATGTCAGAGTACAGGACACAAAAAAACGAGAAGGCCGAGGGAATTCTAACAAGCTGCAAGCATTTGGGCAGTGTACAGCAAATTTGGCTGAGGCATAAATGAATAAAATCCAGCAACTCCCAGCCCATGTCTTTGAAGGTCATCCAGGTGATATCCCACACTACCTGGTGAAAGTCAGGGGGAGAAAATTGGCTTAGAAGGGTGGGAGGAATCATGTGTTTGTCTTTCTAGGCTTAGTCTAGGTGGTGCAAGCTTTTGCCCGTTACAAAGGGTATAGCCATTAACATCCATACATCCAGGTACATGTAGAAGCTGGACTGCTCCTAAACGGTCATGAATCTTACTTATGAATAAAGAATGGTACAAAGATGAATGTATCAGTGGAAGTCAAAGTTTATCTCGGTCCACAAGCAACGACAGTATTGCAATTTGACATGCTGCTGTTGTCCTCTTGAATGACTGCAATGCCTCTTTCAGGGGCCTGGGCGGCACCATGTCCTTAAAGATCCCTGCCTTCAGCAAAGATGGCTGCCTCATGGACTATGTGCCGCTCGTCAAGCAGCTGCTTGAGAACAAGGTGAGAAATGCCACACTGAGCCGGTACAGGGTAAGGCAGTAAGATTTAGTATTTTCAAAGACTACTCCCTTCACACGAGTGGCATTCGACTCTAAATAGGTGCCAAGTGACCTCTACCTTCTATAAGGCGACCAATCTTGCTGCTAACTTTACTTCCTATAGTTGGTGACAGGTCAAGAGCCTTGGGCGAGGGAGAGGAAGGCTGGGGAGAAAGTGGAATGCTGGAGAGAAGGGGATGTTTCCTCTTCTCCAGCATTTCATCAGCTTCCTCCTCTCCAGCCTTCCCTTCCCTTGCACCCCCTAGGTTCTTAACCTATCACCTACTATAGTAGAGTAATGAACCCTCGAAACTCAACCTCCTAAAAGCAGCCCATTGAATTCTTTCGAGACTGCCGTAAGATTCCGTAACGGCGCCCTCAGCTTAGAGATCGGCCATCCCTTTTTTCTGGCTAAATATCCCTATCATAAAAATTACGAATCGTCTCCCACTCCCCACTCATCAACCGCGTAATCTGCGGTGTTGGTACGTGTGACAAGCGAGTTTGCAGTGGGTTCTTGCATCTTTGTTCGCGATCTGCGCGTGCATTGGTTCCCGTGACATGCGAGTTCGTAGTGAGTTCCTGCATTTTTTGTCAGCGATCCGCGAAGTTTGTTGCCGTTTGGGTTTTTTGCACCGTGAAACACAAATCTATTGCATTTGCAGTCGGCGGTATCTTTTTCTGTGACACAGGAGTTTGTAGCAAACTCCTGCTTGCTTATTGCGTTGCAAAACGCGAATTTTCAGTGTCCGCGATCTGCGGTATCTGTTCCCGTGCCACGTGGTTTGCAGCGGGTGCGTCTGTGTTTATCATTAATTTTTTATAAAGTTTTGCCATCTCGTCCCCAAAGATAGCCTACCTCATGTTTTTCACCATTTATTTCTCAATTTTGGGTGTGTGCCCGTACGGGATTTTACCACAAGCACAAACTCAAAGGTTTTCGCAGTCGTGTCATACACTTAATTTTTTTGCAGACTCCCCTGTTAAAGTTGGCAACTGACAGCTGGAACAAGCTGCCAGCAGACTTTAGTACATACTTTTAGAAAGTATCGTAGCTTTCACAAGTGCCTGCGTAATATGTGCTGCTATCACAGAAGCAAGGTGTGCAACTGCATACTTCTGCGTGGAATTATTTTGTAATTTTAACTAGTATACGTGATACGGTGTAAACTGTGCAAAAAACGCGGGAGGAAAAAAAACTAGCAACACGGGACAAGCGCTTGTCCCGCATTGCTTACTTCTTCCCCTCCATCAGTGTTTTTTGTGCCATTTAAACCATATATCAAGTATGAGGACTAGCCCAGTTCTCGACCGTATTGTGATTTTAACTTCCATACTTTCAGGTAGAGCAAGTGTCAACATCCTTTGCAAAGCGGAAGGAGTATATTTCGGCGTTCCTGAGCCTCTTCGGAAGGTACTTGTCTCGCATCAATCCTCATTGATAGCATTCCCTCAAGTTGCGAGAAGTTTTTTTTTTGCCTGTTTTCGGGCTGCAGGGCTCACAGAGTTCGTTTGACCTTTTCTTTTCAGGAGCTTGATAGAGTTTGACTCTGAGGGCTTTGGGAGCATCTCATTCCTTTTTGAGCATGACGACTTCTTCTTCATCCTCAACAGTGAGTCAAACCTTGCTTAGAAAGCGGACTTACAGTGACTTCTTAATTGCAGACTACCAGAAATGAGACCTCGTTTGTTGTTTGCATACAACTGTTTATGTTAACATAGAAGGTATCGCATACTGTCATTAGCACGAGCTGTGGTCAAAGAAACTTATTGTCTGCTATGAACGATTGTTTTGGCGGTGTGAAATGGAATGTGCAAATGCTCGGCTGTCAGCACATGGTTAACTGCCCCTCGGTATGTCTTCCCTACAGTGCGTGGGTTGAGCATAAATGCTGAACCCACGCACGAAAAAAATTTAAATGGGGAAACTTCTGAAACACAAATTTTCAGCGGTGGGTCTAAATGTGTCGCCCCTTGATTTCTGATCAGATACTTTTCTTTAGAATCCTTCATGTGGCTTCTAGGTGCAACAGAACGGATAATAACCAAACTGAGATCTCCAGGAACATGCAATATAAATATTTTGGAAAAATAAATAAAATTTATTTGATTCATAAGTATAAAATGAAATGTTAGAACCAGGCAGTTTTAGTCCTAGAAGATATACCTGCTGTCTTTTTTCTCAATGTCTAATTATAATCTTCTAATTGTTGCCATACTGCTGTTGTGTTCTACATTCTCTCACTTCCATTCTTTACAAAAAGCTGTGAAAAAGTTTTAGGACTTCACCACAGTATTTGTGCAAATTAGTCTCCGTCACTTATAAAATGCAGAAGAGAAAATACTAGTTTGTGTTTAAAAAATGAAGACTCGAATGATTGGTACTTGCCAACTTGAATGAAGCAGAATTCAGTTTTCAGTAACTTGAGAATCACTAGGGCCTATTTTTCTCACTGTACAAATCTATGTTCTAGAGGTGCTAATAAGACAAATATTTTAAAAGTAGATTGGCGAATCTTGGGGATTTAGCCCGCCAATTATTGCGTCACACTTGCACTCCTGCATCAGCCACTGTCGACATTATCCCTAGGGAATTGTATGTGTTCGAAGTGCCCTTTTGGATTTGTTACCTTATCTTGAATTTGGAGAAGCAGCGTTATACAGGGTGCTTTATTTCAAGCTTTTAGAATTGGTGTAATAAAAACCGTGAAAGGTACATTAAAGTGGTCTGTGCAGACAAGTTGTACAGCCAGGCGGACACACTAATATAGGGGAATAATTGTCTCAATAAGTCTATTAATTAACTAATTTTTTTTAATTAGTTATATAGTTATAGGTAGGGTTTCGTGTTTTCCGTATATACCGATAAACACCGAAAATTAACCACCGAAGCGGTTTTCTCTGAATCGGTAAATACCGAAAACCCCCAAATTTAGACTGTCCTCAAAGTAAAAAAAAACGCCAGCATCATGCAAAAAAATATTTTACCCTCTTTTTTTTTTTTTTTTTTTCGTTGACCCGGGACAGCTGTACTGAACTGTCCCTAGGGCTGTTCCTTTGTAGCGAAACCCCATTCCTTGCCCCGTTCCCTTCTCTTATCTTCACCAGCATTACTGGAGAAAATATAATTTATAACTTATAAATTATAATATTTTTTCTAGTAATTATACAGTCGCTTTGCAACACCAGCACAATAAACGCCGATTTCTCTCCGGCATTGAAATTAGACACCGAAAACACCGATTCAAAGAGAAAAATATAAACACCGATAAATAACCCCCGAATTTGAAGAAAAATAAATACCAAAAACACGAAACCCTAGTTACAGGAGGTCAAAACATAATTCCAATCAGCAACTTGCTGAGTGTCATCGAAAAAGTACCGAAAGTGTAAATTTCTTAGAAAGGTTTTGGGTGCTTGAAAAGCGTGGGGATGCGCTAAAGTTACCCCTTGTACGACAGGCGCGAGGATAGTTATGCAAAAACCTGCCTGTGCAGCTTTTCTGGCACTTGTCACCCACGTTTTGGCACCGTCAGCATTGCACCCATTACACGAGTGGCAACTCGTCTGCACCATTGTTTTCAGTAATGAAAAAATTAACTAATTTTAGCTATATTATTCTACTTATTGCGATGATTAGCCCCCTATATGATGTCCCCCTCACCATATAAAGCACCAGCACAGACCGCATAGTGCAGCTTTCGCCGCTTTTTTTTAAAACAAATCTGTCTAAAACAAAACACCTCGCATATGTTGGCACTACTACGTGCGATGGTGCGAGAGACCTGGCCCTTCCACCCCTTGCCGCAGTCTCGATCCCGAGATCGTTCCCGCACGACAAGCCTTCGCTGACGTTCCAGTCCGCGTACCATGCGAGTGGGGGCTGGCCCTACACCATCACGTGCACCGACTACCCGTACAGTCCGCGCTGGGACCCCGGTGAAATGGCCGATCGTGCTAGGTGAGGAGCGCCTTCTTTGTTGGCAGTGTCCGGCGGTAACGCTTGTTTGCGTCGCTGGCTGGCGACGCTTGGGCGCGAGAAAAGTTACCAATAGGATGCATTTGATGTGCCTGCAAGCGGAGATTTTCGGACGTTTGTCTCGCTCGATTACGCTGCAAGGAGAAAGGTAGAACTATTGTGCTCGCAGTCGTGCGTCGGTAAATTGTCCGACCGTGCACAAGTTGAGGCTGGTGCTCGTGGTCTCGCTCGAAAATTCAGCAAGTGCAGACGCTTACCGGTGGCAATGCCTGGTTGGATAATTGAGACAACTTCAGTTGTGGCAAAATATCTACGACGCGTCTCTATGGCTCGTTACGGACGTCTGCCTGATTTACGGCAAGAGCTTTTATAAAAACTCCGTGGTGTCATCAAATCGCCTGACAAGATCTAACCGGTGTAGTTCGCCTCTCAGCCGAGATATGGCCGGGCAGTGCCATGGGACCGGCACCCGCCCCGGGCTGGAGAAAAACATTGTTATTATAGCCATAGTTACTGCGATAGCTGAATGGTACCTGTTTCCTTGCCTACATGCTTCGGTGACCACATTCTTTGCAATCGAGTAAAGAGAGTGGATATGCATAGAAGTGGGTGTTGCAAGACGCAATAACCCCTACAGAAGATTCGGATGCTCGGTTGAGGTCACGACGACGGGTATCATAGAAAAGGTTCACGGTGTTGTCATTGAACACCTCTGGACGAGATTGCCGAGACTAGAGCTGCTCAGTAAGCTACGCATTAGAGTAGCGACACTCACCTTAAGGAAAGTTGAATTTTTTTATTGTAATAATCGTTCATTTCATCCACTCTAGTGGCCCTAGCAGACGGTAGGCATCTCAACTGAACAGCACAATAAATGTGTTGCGCAAATGGTGCCGAAACTGATGACTAGACCGCGCGTGCGAAAGGACATTTCAGTGCAGGATTTGAGTAATGTTTTATTGCAGTCCGCCCAACTTTTTGCGTCGATTCGTGACCATAGATGAAAGTTGGATTTATCACCACATACCCGAGTCAAAGCAGCAGTGACCGGTAAGAGTGCACCGAAGAAGGCGGAGGTAGTTTTATCGGCTGGGAAGGTGATGGTTATTCTGGGATACATGAGGAATAATCCTGATCAGCTACTTGGAAAAGGGTAAAACAATAACGGGAGCCTATTATTCAATATTAATGGACCGTTTGGAAGAGGAGCTAGAAAGAGCAGACTGGCACGCAGAAAGAGCTTTCGCCGAGGCACGCACAGTCTTTGCAAATCGATCGTTGCAATGGCAAAATTGCAAAAATGGGCGTTAGAATTGATTCCCCATCCACCCTATTCTCCGGACTAGGCCCCGTGCAACCTCCTACTTCCAAAACTTTAAAATATGGCTCAGTGGGGAGAAATTTTAATTGATTTGAGGATGTCGTCGCCGCCGCACATTTTACGGCCTTCGAGAGAATCTACTTTTCTGACGGGATAAAGAAAACTGAAAACGCGCTGGACTAAGTGGACTCACTGAGGCTGTAGGTATGTTGAGATATATAAAGTTGATTTGTTCCCAAAATGGCGTTTACCTGGCTTATTTTACCATACAACAAGCCTCATGATCTTGCAGATAAATCTGGAAACATCTCACCAGCTCAATGAACCTTTTCCAAATACCGACGGCACCAGGCGGTGGCTGCACGAACTAAAAATCAAGGAAGTGACCTACCTGCGCTACCATCGATAATGGGAGCTACGTTACCAGTTGCTTCGCTCTCTGAGCAGCGTCGCGTGCCCAATGCAACGAGGTAGGTCTAGCGCGACTTTAAAGAAGGAAATTCGTAGCGTCCACCCAAACGTCGTGTTTTTCTTTCCGTCCACTTTCTTTTTTTGTGTAACACAATTATATATATGCTGCAATTACGTGTTCTACTCGTCGATTTACAGCCTCATTCCGAATTTCCTCGATTTTTTCGTGCCGACTTCCACCGCTTGGCATCGGGCGCTCGCGCGTGCGCAGAACGCTTCTCGGAAAAGGTCCATTTGGCTATGCCACCGCTGCCACGACACAACCTCGCTGCCACCTTGCACATGCAGAGCACTGCCGCCTGCCTTCTGTGCACGAGTTATGGCGTCGTCGAGCGTGCATGGAACAGCTACGGCTGGCTGACAAAATGTGCATTTTGGTGTGCTGGAGTGCATTGTATTTTCTTGTAATGCTTACGAGGAGAATACACTGGAAAACTATCGGCTAGCCCTGAAACTGGGTGAAAGTAGACCACAGGTTTCCAGTATTTGCGAGATCCAATCTATGCACCATCTATGAGAAACGGTCGCTTCTAACGTTGTCTGAATCGTTCAAACAATTGACAAAAATATACTAAAAAGATATGTATGTTTGCAGGGCTACCCAATAGATGGCGCCGGTACATTCTCGTCGTATATAATAACGTGTATTGGGTATCTCAGAAGTCTTTTATAGGGCCACCACTTCTTCGAAATTCCAAAAATTGTTGCCTGCTGCAAACAACACTTGGGCAGAAATGGCTAGTTTTTGGAGCGGACGCACATTGCCCTTGTGATTCACTCATGCTGCATTTCTCTCGCTTCTTTTTGCAGAATCTTCGTGACGGAGTACGTGCCCAACTTTCAGAGCAGCTCTGTCAAGAACCGCTGAAGGTGTACGCTAGTGTTTTTACAAATAAGCACGAGACAGTCTTACCTGTCCCTTCGTGACCTTTTGAAAAGGGGCTCCTCACGCCGGATCGGAGTATCCTGGGATTTGCGGAGACATCACCTTGTCTCTGAAGAATTTCTGTTGTTTAAGATGAATTGGTTATTTTATTATTTTTGAAGTGTAAGACGGAAACTTTTTGCTTCAGAGTTGAAATAAAATATTTAATGCGGATGTACAGCTCAGCTGGTGCGATCCATAGATGCTTCTTCACTGTCCTTTTCCAAACTTGCCATCTTCGCCCGAACTTTCACAAAGGTCTCGTGACAGAAGTCCCTCAACACGGCTGCAACAGAGTCTTCGGTGGCCGAGCGAAAACCGTCGTCATCTGCACGTTGCGTTACAAAAGTAAATGGCAATCTGTTAGAAAAAGAAGTTAATTACTGTATTTGGTCATCTGGTTGCCTCTGTTATTTCACCTTGTAAAAATATTCTTGCAAGTAGTATTTATGGAATGTTTGTTCTTAAACCGACGTGTGAAACGTCACCCAAGCCAACTAGGTCATAAGGAAAACGTTCACTCTACTGCAGGCTCACTATACTTTGAAGTTCTGGCAGGGGATTCCTTAAATTAGTGAGTTATTACAAAATATTAGATAGTAAACTGCCATTCACTTAATAATGTGAGACTTTACTGCACCTTCGTCTTGTTCGATCACAATTTTGCAATGATTGCTTTTTTGTGTTGCGGCCATTTTTTTTTTTTTTTTTTAATGTAGTTTGAGACAGAAACAGCAGCACTTGCTTTTCATTGGCAGGTGTCCTCCAAGTTCGCAAAGGGCCACATTAAATGCAGACTCGTCCTTGGCTCCTGGATTTGTGTGAGGGAAGTGTTAGTGACCTCAAAATACCCCTGTTATGGAAAATGCTTGTCAGCTGTTGGTTTGCTCTGCCCCGGCTGACCATGTCTGCTGAGGCAGAGCAACGAGATCCTATCCCATCTTCATCGCCACTGTTATGATGCTGCAGGAAACATGACGATAGTGACTGGTAAGCAACAATGTTTATTCCTGCGCAGCTTGCACTCTATATACCGTATTTACTCACTTAATGAACGAACCCCCCACTTGGGCATCAATATTTTAACTTTTTTTTTCCTTCGCGTAATGAATTCACCTCTGATTTTCGGCTCCGCGAGCCCCGAACTGCGTCCAACTTAGCTGGCCACCAAGTCAATTTTCTTTTGCCGCCACGCGGTCAGGGAAAGGCATGCCAAGCCAAGCCATTCTCGTAATGGCTGCCAGTGCAGCCATTACATTTCATTTGGCAAAAGGCATGTCAAAAGCTGCCTAAAAAGTTTGAAATTTATAAAGCATGGTTACTGTGGCGCGCCCACGACCTGTCATGGATGCGCCTTAGTCAGTGGAGACGTGCCACAGTACCCTGCTGTGTCATATTGGCACCTAAAATGACATTTTCACAAAGTCTATAAATGCAAAAATTTTGCCCCGCGTAATGAATGCACCTTTCAAATATGTGTAAACTTTTGGGGAAAAAAAGTGTGTTCATTAATGCGAGTAAGTACGGTAGAAGCCAGGTGAGGGGAAGAAGAAAGGGAAAGGCGATCTTCGCAGCCCAGCATGCACAGGCTTGTGTCTTTGGAAAGTGAGGAAAACATGTGCCATGTGCACAAACTCTGAAGATGACGCCTGCCTGAAGCTCTTTATTGGAACGGTCTGAACGCCATATTTGAGTACACTATTTTAGCGAGATCTTTGCGCAAAAGAAATATGTTTTGTGGAGCTTTGGGCCGCAGGGCAACCTAAACCTGCACTACTGTAGAATACCGTGCATCCGCCCATTCAACATTAAGTGCCCATTACCAAATTTGTAAGATCTGAGAAAATATCCGCGGTACATCCGGACAAGTGCCCATGCCCCATTCTCTCGCGATTATTTCTAAATTTTGAGTGGGTGCTCGCCCGGTATCTTGCAGTAGTAGTAAGACGACTCTTCTGTTTCCCTGCATCAACCCTAAACTCGCGAAATACAGACAAGACAAAGGCAGGCAGACACAAAGCCTCCCCCTCCAGCGGTATCCGTGCTGGTGCAGTCTTTTTCTCCCTGTCTAATCAAAAAAGAATGAAACCCCCCTAAAACCCAGCTCCTTGGCTTCTAGGTCAAACAAGTTAGACGGGACCGTTTTCTTTATTTTTACAGCGATAGCTGCTTCTTGTCGTTGATGATGTTGATGTTGCAGTTGGCGTAATGGGGCGTATGGCATCCGCCATGATATTGCCAACTGCTTAAGAAAAGATTGCCTGAGCTCTCTGGAATCAAACCTGAATCTGTTGCGTGTGAAGCAAGAGCGTTACCACAGAGCTCTACCGCAGCATTGGCAATCTGTTTTATTACACGATTTTTGCAGAACAAACGTGAGTATGAGTCTCAAGTACAGTCAAACCCTTTTACAACGAATAGCAGGAAACGCTACAATCAGTTCGATATAGCAAAAACCATTTACAACGAACTTCAACGATGCGTTCATTGTAAGGCGAGGGCTTCTCTTTCTTTCTCATCACTTCGCTTCGGCCTTGTAACACCGCGCTAAGAAGTTTTTCTTTTTTCGCATGCGTGCAGTTTTTTTTTTTTTAGCTTATCTTCCCTTCTGAATCGCTTCTCTTCGTGGGCTACCGTTTTTAAATTAAAAGTTTTTTTGTTTTTTTGCGTGCGTGCAGTGTGTATTTTTTAGCTTTCTCCCCTTTTGAATCGCTTTTCTTCGCTCAATTTTGTTCGCAACTTGAGCTTTTGGAATTTTCTTTTTTTCCTACTTTTTTTTGGGGAGGGGAGGGGGAGGGACAGGCTAGAAGGTGATTGTTTGTGCGTTTTTGGAAGCCTATCCCACGGGAAAAAGTTTGATATAGCAAATATGTTGTTTGTTATTAAAAGTACTTTTTACATGCATTTTTAGTTAAATTTTCCGTGAGTTCGATATCGACAATAATTCGTTGTACATGGGTTCGTTCAAAACGGGTTTCACTAAAGTGCCAACTAGATTGCCACAGCTGCTGCGACGTCGCGATAGAAAAAGTTTCGTCATTCTTAATTAATTCTAAATTTCATCGGAGTTAATTGTTAAAATTAAAAGCTTCATCCAGGTTGCGCAAGTACGAAGCCAACTGAGCCAACGACTTCGCCGTGACGTGTTGCAGCTATCGCCGTGATTGTACTGTGGATTAATACAGGACTCCTCACTTTTTTTTATAAAAAGACGAAACTCTTTCACAACTAGCGTAGTCTGAACTGGTTCCAGCCGTAGTCTAAACGATTCCAGGTGGCACCCACAGTGCCACCTGGAATCATACATAAATCCCTATTATAGTTGATATTCAGCTGCGACATCCTCTTAAGCGATGGACAAATGTGTGCTGCATCTATGGAGATCCATTCTGTGGAGCAAATTGAGTTCAACGCTGTCGTGACATGCTACCGGCTTTGGTGTCATCATTTACTAAAACAGCATGTTCAATGATTTTAGCTCAAAAAGCAAAGTGGCTCGTATAATGCATGCTTTGGGCAGTCTCGCAAAATTTGTTAAAAAGGCGTTTGACTGTACTGGGTGTCCTTGAGAAAGAAGAGCGGTGTTTTTCGATTCACATAAATGAACTATGCATCGCACAAAGCTTAACCTCCGTGAGAATATGGTGCTAGCAATTGGCATGGAATGCAAAAGTACGAGAACATGGTATTACCTAAATCAGAATATAAAAGAGAAAATCTAAATTTTCTATGAGCCGACGTCCACGTAAGCCCAATATTGTCATAACAAGAACTGACATGGTGGATGCATGTAACATTTATGTCAGTGAAAAATACTTGGCAACAAAAGGATATTGTTTTCCTTCTTGCTGGCAAGCTTTTTTTTTTATTAAAATTATTTTACTGAACAATGTCAATCCTCATTTTGACGATACTAGGCCTAGGTGGACGTCTGCTTATACAAAAATTTGGTCCTTCTCTAAAAAATCTTAGTCCTTCTCTTATATCTTGTGATCTAGGCAACTTCATGTTCTCAAACTTTTGCGTTCTATCCCAACAGGTAGTGTCAAATTGTCATTGAATTTTGGCTTCCTTCAATGCATAGTTCATTTACATGGGTCAAAAACACTGTTTTTTCCACTAGAACATTCGCTCTTTGTGTTTGCATTGCACAGGAAAATACCATCTCAGCCCAATGGTGAGCCTTGTACACATAAACGCGTCCCCGCTTACCGTAGCACGACTTCCTTGCCCAGAGGTAGACCCTGACGACCGAGAGCCCAACACTCCCCTCTCGAAAGGCAGTGCCCCTGGTGACAAACAGGTTGTGTGCGGTCGAAGTCTCCAGAAGCACGCCCACCAGTGCCATGATGTGTCTGCAGAAACAGGAGCACACAGGCTCAAACTTCTGACCAGCCCACACGCTTTCACGCGGGGTCATCAAATGTGCGAGGCACAGAAGGACGTCTATAAGGCAAAAGTGAAACCTACAGAAAAGTTAGCAGCTGTACTTTGATCTGTCGATCAAACCGTCGTTTGCAGAATTGCAATGTATGACATACTATCACTTTGTACAATATTCTGTATTGACACACTATGGGGTTTGCATGTTCCTTAGAAACAGCTCCATCATGGGTCCTAGTTTCGTGCTTCCACGGCAGCAAGAGCAGTCTTATGGAAGTGCTAGAGGCGCCAAGCACAACACGTCCGTCTTGCGCTCGGGGCAGATGCCTAGCAGAAAGCGGACTGCTTGGGTACTGTGGCAACGAGGTGCTTTTCGTTTTCAAGCGACAGACAGCTTGATGCGTGACACTTTGCGAGGATTTCAGTGTCGGCCTTTGTTGCTGTCTGCTGTCGCAGCAGAGGTGTAAAAACCCTTCTTATCTTCCCTTGTGGCACTTGGAGAGAAAAGTCGGGCATTCCCATTAGCCACACCTACCATGGCCGTGCCACACGAAGATGGAGGATTATGCATCCCCCTCTCCGCTCATCGCTGAACATCAACCCTCCCTTCACCGCTCAACAACACTGGCGAAGCCTTCACTTGCGGCGCCGTTGTTGCAGACTTCTTATTGGTGCCGCCGCCACGCCAAGGCCGTACTCTGTCCCAGGAGCAATCGAGGAGGCAATGACTCTGCTTACGGTTGGCTTCCGCGTTCCTCGTGGGCGAATACCTTCGACGTGCCCAATCGCAGTGTACCTTCCACCAATTTCATGCTTCACAGATTCTGTGCTTTGTGCCGCAACAACGTCCCACGCGTCGTAATTGGCGACTCCAACGTCGGTCCTGGCAGCTACAAGAACGAGTGGTTTTGCAGCCTCGTCTCGGTGGAATCGGGCCTTTGCATGGTGTCCGATGTCGGAGCACCGAGAACGCACACCGGCACCACCATCAACCAACATTGACGCACGTAATTGTCACTCATAAAATATGTCCTTTACGACAACTGTAAAGGCAATACACTGCCGACTTTAAAATAATTCTTACTTCGACAAATAAAAATCTGAAGCCGGAAGTGTTAATGATAAAACATCGGCCGTCTCCCAGCCCCCCCCCCCCCACCCCTTTTCTTCATAGTCTCAATACGGCGCGATACCGGAAAGTTCATCTGATTGGTGGCGTGTTCCAGTTGAGGTTGGAAGTCAACTCCCATAGATTTGGATGCATTAAGGTTTTTTTTGGAGTCCTCATCGACAAAGCGGTGCGAACAGATCAGGGGGTGAGACTGGGCCCTGCAGCTGTTCTCTTCGAGGACTGCAGCCAACCACGCATTATTTTGTGCTTCACCTTTTGGAAACTTGCGTGGCATAGCTCTATTAGATTTGGTAGTACTGGGACAGAACTTCACGCAGCACTTTGGCGACATCGACCCCTTACGTCGCTTACATGGGCCTGCTACACATCATTTTCTTCCTTCCTTTTTTTAAAAATCGTTTTAGACTGGCTAACACTGCTAAAATAAGAGGAACTGAAAAGTGACGTGCTGTTTGAATGCAAAGAAATGTCTCCCAAAATACTTTCACGGTTCGCCAGGTGGCAGGTGTGCATGCCCATGATTGATGAGAGGGAAAGAGAGGAAGTTGAACGACACTTCCTGTGTGAAATCATAAAAAAAGGCATGGAATGCACCATTTCACTAACTGTGTCAGATTGGGGCGGGCCTTTCAAATCGAGCTTCCTGAAAATACCTTTTTTTCTTAGCAAATATGCAGTTTTCAAGCTTGATATTTTTGGGGAGATTACTAGAAATCATTTTCAGTCATTTGCCATAATTAAAAAAAAAGAAGATTAATGTTGGGGTTGTCAGTGGCCCTTTAAATGTTATTCGTAGCAAGCATTAGAAGCTCGCCACAACTTTCCTTGACTGGTACGAGCATTTGAAGTTACAAAAAATAAGGAACATGGTACGAGTGTCGATTAGCACAGCCACTTTTTTTACTAGTGAAACTGCACAGTGTGGTTTCTGCGATGACCCAACAATGTGGACGTGCTCGCAGAACAGGAAAAAAAAAAAGATGTATAGAGAAGCATCCACCGGCAACAGTGATGAAAACGGCAGTTTACCTTTTGTAGCAGGTTCTGTAGTGAGCAAAATATTGTTTTGGAGCAGCCACTGAAGCTTCTGGAGCAGATTCAAACATCTGATAGCACATCACTTTAAAATGAAAGAGTGATTGCATCGTTAAATGAGTTCATCTTTGATAATGACTGAGGGTTCTTTATTGATACCGGACCATATTACCTATTACTTTTCGTAACAAGAATAGATTGAGTGCAAAATGAGCAGTATTTTTTTTTTTTTTCAGAAATAAGGGTTTGGTTAAAGTAGGTGTAATTTACAATGGGTACTAAAAGATGGTTTAAAAATAAATCATATAGTGCAACACTTCAGTTGGGATAAAGTCTCTCTCCCCTCCCACTTTTACACCAGGTAGTTTATTTAGCCTGTAAATATGATTTCTGTAAAATGTGTCCAAAAACCAGCATATCTGCTAAAGTATATAAAAATGTGCCCCCCCGCACCCTTAAGTTCTATGAACCTACTAAGCTCTTATAAGCAAGAAAAACAACCAACCAGAAATATGAAAACCTTGTGCTTTGAAAGTGACAGTGCTCTTTAGCACCGTCGGGACCAGAGTCAAGTCACTTGGCTGTTTCGATAGGCAGCTCCACAATATTTATTGAAATATAAAAAAGCAGTAAGTTGGGATAGTTTTTTTGTTTTTCTCGACCTGAATGCCAAAAAATACAAGAATTAAAAAAGAGAGTGACTCTTTCCTCCTTTTGTCCTTGTTTGCTTGGCATTCAGTTCGAGATTCAAAATGTAGACCCACATTTTTTTCTCTTTCACAACGCAGTTTTTCCAAATTAAAGATAAACCTACAATCAAGACCAAAGAAGGTTGACCTAAATGCCGAGTGTAATTTTTGAGCCTATCACGTTAACCCAGGCACTTGCCCATGTCGACCGCTGCTCCTAGCGCTCCGGTGGAAATTGGTGAACCTTGATACATGTGCTTGTGAAAGGCACGGAGGCATGCGGCAGATCTGACAATCAAGTTATCTCATTAGGAGTACAAGACCCCAGTTCTGTCTTATCACAGCAGCCGCCATCCTTCTATTTTGTAATGTTTTCTCACAATCTTTATCTGCCGATATCGTCTGGAAATTCAAACGATGTTGGCGATTGACTTGCCAGAGCATCAACCGGCCAGCACGGTTGCCGAGCAATCTCTAAGCTTTGTTTCCCCTTAAGTTGAAGCGCAGCCGACCCTACGAGCCAACGGGACGCACCAAACGGCGTCAAAGTGCGACATCATGGAATTCATCCATCTTTCTGTAAGTGTTCTTTCATCGACTAAACCAGTCAAGTACACAGCAAATGTCCCATGACTTGCGCTTTTAGTATATACGGTTATATGTGTTTGAGCCTTTGACTGTCCTCTGACCTAAGATGAAATTAGCTATATGGTGAGTAGAGACGCTTTGAAATACATATTTGTATCATTTTCCTTTTCTCCAGCTTCTCAGAATATTCAAGTTGACCAATAATGAAATAGTTTTATTTTTTGCTTCGCTTAAGCTTATTTCGGCGTAGGTGCGGTGCAATTCTTAACAAAAATAGAATTTGGGCACAAGATGCAGCAGACTTTTGTTCATGTCACAATATGGCACAAATGGTGCAACAGTTCCATCAGGCACAAATGGTGCAACACTTCCATCAGGCACAAATGGTGCAACACTTCCATCACTGCAGCAGAGGTTCATTTGTTCCAAGAGCCTCTAAAAGAGCACATATATATTTTTTATGAACTGCCACTGTACCACACTGTGCTTAACTGTAGTTAATTTGCTCCGTTACGAAGTTCATAACTGCTCCTGGCTACGAGTGCTGAATAAAAAGCGTTGACTGTTTTTTTTTTTTTTTTTTTTATTCAGAATCCGATGACTCCCCAGGTTCTAACAATTTTATTTTCCGAAGTAGCATCCTTCACACTCAATACATTTTTCAGGATGTTTAAAAAAATTATAGAGATAAATGCAAGACTGTTTTTTAACATCCCGTTTTTCTAGGCATGTGCAAATAGTGGACTTTGAGTTAGAAGGGAATAGCAGTTTTGGCCGAATATTTTCTAATCCAATACAGAATAGTTTTTTTAAGTATTTCACTACTGCAATATGCTTAAACAAAAACACAGCTGAGCTTGTGAAGGTTGTTGCCAAGCTTCTACTTGTCCATTTCTAATATAAGTTAATTTTAATCTAACTATATTTATTGACTGTGGCCCTCGGAAGTCCAACACCTAAATTGGGGTCAAAATCAATAATGCATTTGACATAACATTAAACCTATCACCCAGCTATACCTAATCAAGGGAATTTATAAATATTCTTGGTATATGCAAATATATTTTCTTCAATCACTTATGATTAACACAGATTCTCAAAGCATCTCTGGCCAGTTTAATTTTGAAACTTTTACTGCAGTGTAGATAATAACGTTCATGAAGTTTCCATTTCTTTCTAAATACATCAGGCACGCGCATGCGCCACTCCACTTTGGAAATGGGCTGGCCTCCAAAGCACGCGGCTGCAATATTTGTACTTTTCCAATAGACCATCTGCTAAGTCGCCCAAGTGCCCCGGCCCGCGCTAAAACAATCATAGGAATGGTGTTCCTTCAGCTTATTAGTGATTGGTAATTTCGACCTTATCCTTGGTTACACAGCTTTTGAGTGTAATTCGGAGACACCCTGAACAAGCACCTGATATACCCCAAGGACCTATCATATCGCTTTTAAAATTTCTCCTTGATGTCAGCGTTTTTGATAGTGTGCATGCTATCCACCCTTCAACCTGGATGGGCTGCAGAAATCTCTTACAATAGTATCATTCTCGTACAGCTTCAAAGACGCTGATATTAAGTTAGAAACACTAAAAATGCTATGAACAGCCCCGCTGACTCCGAGCTAAATCATGATTTTTGTTGTTGTGAATTCTCGGCTTTTTAAGCAATTCCTGTTAAAACAACAATCACGAGAATGATAATAACGTAAGAGATTTCTGCAGCTCAGCCAGGTTGAAAGGTGAATAGCATGCACAGCATCAAAAATGCTAACATTGACAAGAAATTTTAAAAGTGATATGACAGGTCCTTAGGGTATATCAGGCGCTTGTTCAGGGTGACTACGAATTACGTTGAAGAAGTGTGTAACTATGGAATTGGTCAAAATTAGCGATCACTAGGGAGCTGAAGGAACACTGTTCCCACAATTTCTCGAGTGCGGGCCGGAGCGCTTGGGAATATTGCAAATGGTCTATTGTTGATAGTGGTTGGTTAGCCCCGTCGAGTGCTTTTTATTAAGCACCAGTGCACTGCAGAGAAGCCACACCTGCGGGTGTTGCTTCCCCGCGTTGCATCAGTGCTTGATAAGAAGCGCACTCTACGGGGCTAACCAGCCGCGATCAACGCTTAGAAAAAAATGAATGTCGCAGTTCATCTCGAAGCGAATAACAAATACCGTACTACCTTATTTATTTGAATATAAGGCGAGGTTTTTTTCCAAAATTCGTACTCTCAAGGTCATACCCCGCCTTATATTCGAAGCTCAGTATAGCAATATGACATTTTTTTTCTTTTCCTTGGGTCTTTCAACTGCCCCCTCGCCTTATAATCGTGACCGCCTTATATTCGAATAAATACGGTACTACTCGAATATCGCCCAACACTACTTTTTCTCATTTCATCACCTCGACTCTCAAGAGAACTTGTTTCCGTGCAGTTATTTCTTTGAGCATTGGAAATTTTCCCGTGAAATTCAATTGCACACCTCTGCCATACTCTCACAGACACACTGACAGAACAGTCTAGCTACAGGTTAAGACCTGTGGGTGCTTGACCTTCACAAAGACTGGCACGGTGTTGCCAGTCTACATCCGTACGAAGAAAAACATCCCTCTCAGCCCCCCCCCCCTCGTATATTAGAGTAGCCTTGAGCAGAGCTGGCTTTTCCAACTGGGACACATGTTAGCATCTTGCCTTCTGCCGCAGCAGTTTCCACCTTCCAGTGCAGGCTGGCTCTACCGAGGCTACGTTCCCGAGAGCAAACTTCTTGCTGCCTTATTGGTGTCTTGGCAGGGCACAGCCTATATTACCTGCCAGGTGCCAGAGAAAGGCCTAACTTGGCCAAAGTTTGGCAATTCTAGAAGCCGAACTTGGGCCTAATAAGGTTTTGCTCCAAGGCTTTGGTTAGGGCACTTTTCTTTGGCCCTATCTTGCCAGAAAAATGCTAAGTCTGGTTCTTTTGCTGATTTGCCACTTGACAACTGAACAGCAGTGCAGCCTAATTTTGGCACTTTCTCAAGAGGCCCTAAGATGACAACCAAAAAAAACGGCAGTGAAACTTAATGTTGGCACTCGCTTGGTGATTTGGGCTCAAAGACGTAACAACCAAACAACCACAAGTGAAGTCAATTCTGACTTTTGCTTGGGACCCAAAAGGGTCGGGTGATAACTAGGCAGTGAAGCCAAACTCTGGCACTTCTTCAGCGAATTTGGGCCAAGGTACCCAGATCTGGCATTAAGGTTTGACTCGGCACTATGAAGTCTGGCTTCTTTGGGCTTTTAAGGACTCTAAATTGCCAGACAAAAACCAAATTCTGGCCCAGAGAACTGCGTTACTTAGGCTCCCAAAACCCACCAAGTGGGGCATCTGAACAGCTTCATTGTACCCTGTGGTTTCTCACCTCACCACAGCTTCCTTGTTCTCTCTGGACACCTGGAATGCAAAACCTTCGGCCGGGTAGTCTTGCAACTCATGGTAGTCTCCAAAGATGCGGGTCACTCGCTGCGAGAGGAGGAAAAGGGCGTTCCTGGTTCGACTTCACACGAGCATTACAAATTGTATGATTGGGTAAAAAATCATGCAAGTGGGCAACACGCCTCCCGCAGAAAACGGAGTGAAAGAGATCAAGATGAAGCTGGGTTAAAATTAACTGTGGGGCTAGTTGGCTAAACATCTTAAATAGAGAAGTGCAACGGATAAGGACAGAACAAATATACAAGCAAGGAAAAGCGCTTACTATCAACTAAGTGTTTAATGCATGATAAGAGAAAGATGAAAATGATAAAAGAAAGACAACAATAAAATGCAGAACACATTTGCACAAAAAATATTCCAAAACAATGTATGAAGATATTTTTTTTGTGCAAATGTTTTCAGCCTTTTAATTTTGTCTTTCTTTTATAATTTTCGTCTTTCTCTTTTCATGCATTAAACGCTCAGTTGATAATAAGCGCTTGTCCTGTCCTTTAAAGAAAAAATGCGGAAGCCAGGCAAACAAAACATGAGGAAGATGCATTTCTTTGATTGGATATGTACGCAGATGAGCTCTTTGCTGTTAGACGCCAGGGCAGAGGAATGTCAAGAACCCAGACATACACAGCGCAAAGTTTGAGGGCATAAACGCTTCGACAATGAAGCAATAAAATGGGCAGTTTTAACATCATCAGGCACAATGATGGGCAGGTAGGGTTTAGACAGAAGTTTCTGCCACACAATTGGGTGTTCCCATTCAGTACTTTACGAAATTATAGCGCAAAAGACTAGGACATTACAGAGCACTAACTCAGAACTGATTATCTACTGTTCGTTGTCGTCATTTGAGTAAATGCTACAAATCACTGAAAAAGAAGAAAGAAAAAGAAAAGGAAGAACATGTGTTTTGCTTTAAATGTGCATAAGCACACCTTCTGTAGCACTGTCTCAAAAAGATCAGCATTATCTAGAATCGTTCTTAAAATCTAGCGGGTCACTGTGATATTTTTAAGTTAATTTCTTCTTTCCTCTCTCTTCTTTTCTTTTAATTTCTTAGCTATTCTTTACTCTCATTTCGTTTCTATCCTATTTCCATGGTGTATTTTGAGGTGTTCATTATAATGCACATTTAAAGCAAAATGCGTCTTCTTTATTTGCTTTTCCTTTTTCGGTGATTCATCGCATCTATTCACTTAATTTGCTTCGTTCACCTTTTTCATTATACAAGCAGTAAATAGTCAGTAGTTAGTTAGCACTTTGTCCTGTACCATAGGTGGTATTCACTGGATGCCACATTTGAGGTGATTGCTCATGGAGCATGCTCGGGATGAATTCTTCTTTATGGTCTCCCAAAGAAGACAATCTTGATGGTGTGCAATGTGCATGTTGGAAGCGTTGCAGCAGCTTGCCCTCAACACGTGATCGGCAGCAGCGAGCTTAACTATGGCTGCCAGTGAACACCAGCTATTGTTTGTTCCTGTCCTGGTCTTTTGTGCCGTAATTTTGCAATGTACAGGGAGCTCCCGAAAACGACAACCGAGTTTGCCGGCCCAGGTAAATAAACTATGCGTCGCAGAAAGCTCAAACTCTGTGAGAATGCGACGCTAGCGGTTGGGATAGATTGCGAAAGTGTGAGCATGACGTTACCTGGATAAAAAGATAATCGAGGAAGATTAAATTTCTCTACGAGCCGACGTCCACCTATCCATCGTCAAAACAAAACATGACATTACGGACGCTTGTGGGATTTATATCGGTGGAAAACACTTGTCAGCAAGGAAGGGGATGTTGTTGTTTTTGCATTGAAGCCGTTATGTCCTAGGATCTGGAAAAAAATATGCCCATGGATGTTAACAAAAATCGCCAGTTTAAACGGCGCTCCTTCGTTCCAATTGGTCGTGGCAAGTATAGATAAAAAGAGGGGGCAACTCGCGTGAGTCAGCCTTCCTTGGCATTATTAGATAGTGAGGTCCTGATCCCTTGCTGTTATCTAGTCACCAACTTATCTCAGCTAAGAGTGCACTGTGACGAGGCTGAGGGCAGAACGCGCCGATCTAACCTCCTTTTCTTTCGCATCGACGATGCTGATAAAGAGACTTGGGCTCAATCAGAACAAACTGTCCTTAAGTGTGCCTCTAAAAATTGGGTTTAGAACTTGCCCATAAGTGACCATAAGGCAATGATTACTTTATTCACTAAGAATTAAATAAAGAGAATTAAACAATGAAGTTATGTATGTGTCTTCATTGCAATCATATGTAACTTGTATAGATGTCGTAGAGTTATCGTAAAGATAACAGCTTCGCTGGTCCTTCATTTTCAAGTGAAGTGGATGGGTTCTATAATTTTTTTAAAGAAAAACTGACAAGTTTTTCTTGTCACTAAAATACCATATTTACTCACATAATAAATGCACCCCCCACAACGGCTACCAATATTTGGACTTTTCTTTTTCCCTCAGATAATGAACACACCTCCAATTTTTGGCTCCGCGAGTTTCAAATTGCATTCAACTCACCAAGCCAATTTTCTTTTGCCACCTAGCGGTCAGGTCAAGTCAAGCCAAGCCACTCTCATAACGGCTGCAAGTGTGTAGTTGAGGAAGTGATCAACAGCGAAACCGAGCGGCGCGCACATTTGACGAAGCTTGGGTCGAGGAATCGCCCAGCCCCAGACATTCTTTGCCTGTCGGATGCATCAATGTTAACAAACACGGCGTCATCTGTGGTCCACTTTTGGACAGTGAAACCGTGAAGGTGGTGAGGACTAAGAATGGTCGCGTTGCTCTACGTGCTGAGTGAGCTTCGTAAGATGCTTTTCCTTCGGCAAAAGGCACCCTAAAAGCAACCTATAAAAGGTGTGCAATTTATAAAGCATGGTTACTGTAGCACACCCCCAACCAGCCGTGGGTGCGCCTCCATCAGTGGTGTGTGCCACAGTGCCTTGCCATATCATATTGGCACCTAATATGACAATTGCACGAGGTGTGAAAAATGCGAAAATTTTACCCCGCATAACAAACGCACCCCCCAAATATGTGCCCATTTTTCAGGTAAAAAAAGTGTGTTCATTATGCGAGTAAATATGGTAAAGCTTTCGCCTTAACAGCAAAAAAAGAAAAAGAAATCTTGCCAGAAACAGAGGGACTTCAAAGCAGATGATTAGGTGGCACAAGCCACCATCTGCTACGAAGGGCCCAGCAGTTATACTATCCCCATTCACCCATCCAGGTTATCTCATTGGCATCTCTTTGTAGTGGGAGAAAAAAATGGGGGTGTTTATACAAGGTGTTTTGCTATGCTTTACAGGTTGTTTAAAATCGAAGCCGTTAAAACTGCTCACTTATATGGTCTGTGCAGGTGAGTTATATGGCCAGGGGGACAAAATATAAGGGGGCTAATCATTGAGATAAGTCGAAAAATAAACCCATATTTGTTAATTAACTTTTTAATTAGTGAATATAAACATATTGTTCTAATTAAAAGCTTGCCGAGATTCATCGAAAATCACTATAACAGATTTTTAGAAGGGTTTGGAGCACGTAGAAAGCTTGTGGTGCCCTAAAGTTATTGCTTGTGCAACAGAAGGTTGGCAGTGAGAGAATGCGAATGATAAGCATGTGCTGGTGTTATATATCTGTGTTTTAGCACTGCCAGCCTTGCACCTGTTGCATGAGCGGTATCTTCAACCAGGGGCGGATTTAGAGGGAGGGTCCGGATGTCCTGACCCCCCTCTTGATTTCTGCATGTGTAAAATTTAGGACAAAAAACGAAGGAGAGGGGGAGGGGGTTCCTAAACACATGGTACACTTACCAACACCTGACCCCCCCCTCAGAAAATTCCTGCATCCGCCCCTGTCTTCAACACACCACTTTGCATCCCACGTGCAGCCTTCTTAAAGTTTACTGATTTAGTGGTGCTCAATTACGCTTCACAAGTTTCTAATTGAAACCAAATGTCTATTTTCACTAATGAAAACATTAATTTTAATTATCCGGCTTATTGTGGCGATTAGCCCCCTATATCATATACCCCTGGCAGTAGAACTCCCTTGCACTGATATTAGTGTGGCTTTCCTGGCTTTCCTAAAACAAATCTGTAAAACCTAAAAAAAAAAAAATAAATAATAACCTGTACATATGCCAAGCTTATGACCAAGTTCTGGCAGAATCCAGCAACAAACTGAGGGTTAATGCAGATCGCATGAAAATCCTTAATGCAACATTCAAAACCTCGGTCAGGCTGAAGGCACCTGACCAAAATTTGGGCTCTCAAGTCGGCAGTCTAGAGGCAAGTACTCTATCTCAGAGCCACTAAAGGAGCCAGTAGAGAGTGATGACGAATTTCCAAAATAACCCCCTGGATGCCAGTTCCAGCTTTTATCAATGAAATGTCGCCAGTCAAAGATAACTAATTTCCAGCATTTCAAAGTAAACCCACCGCTTTTTCGAGGTGTAGCCTGTGCTCCAGGTAGTAGAGGTGATAGTGTTGGTGGTTGACCGACGCAAAACCTCCCAGACTGTTGAAGCCGACCCTGAGAGCACTGCAGATCGGGTTCAAACAAAATGTGTTAGTACATACATACATACCTTATTATTCAGTGCCTCAGAATGACCAAAGTCTCAATGTGGGGCAAATATGTCCGCTCAACATGAACACATACTGTAAACGACTTAATTTTCGCAAAGACTAATTTTCACGAATTCCGCGAATCGCCTACAATTCGAAAAAATAGGTCCCGCAAACAATTTCGGTAAAATGTAAACACATTGGAATCTATATTGAGATCCCAGCGCGTCGCAAAAATATTTCGCGAAAAATCGCGAAATATTGAGCCTGCGAAAAATAAGTCGTTTACAGTATATAGGAAAACTATATGATTATGAGGTGAGAAGCAAGGTTTCTAGTTCGCGTTTAAAAGACACATACTAGTCTGTAAAAGCATCCAAAGAAGTATTTGATGATATGGCATTAAAAGACAGTTGAATATGTGAGATCGGACAAAGTTTCTCTTAAGAACCAGGATAAACAAACTGGCGCTTCTACTGGAATGTAGAGGCATGTGAAAGTTAAGGCAACACATTGCTGTCTATCTGGCCTTCTACTGGAACGTAGAGGCATGTGAAAGTTAAGGCAACACATTGCTGTCTATCTGGCCTTCTACTGGAACGTAGAGGCATGTGAAAGTTAAGGCAACACATTGCTGTCTATCTGGCCTTCTACTGGAACGTAGAGGCATGTGAAAGTTAAGGCAACACATTGCTGTCTATCTGGCCATGAATTATTCGGTTTAACAGTACCTAGTAAGCCGCGCCCAACTTTTTGACTTATACCATTTGTAAGCCGAGAGTCTCGACTATGTATGCGTAGTCATAAAAACACCTTCGTTTAAGATATTGATCATAGACGTACGATTCAAATAAACCTCTTATGAACTTTTTCAATTTTCAATGCATCGGTTGCTGTGAGAATTAATTAGACTGCAAAATAAGCAAATAATACACAATAAATTTTTAAAAAATCTTTGGTCAAATGAGAAATTAATAAAACTCTGGTTGGCGCTAGTAGGTACATATCGTTTAAAAGTTTAAAAGATGCAAACTGAAACAGAACGAAAAAAGATACACATACGATAAGAAATCAAGCCAGCAATATTACAGCTGATACAACAATTTGGGAGACTTGGTAGGAAAAAGAAAGATGATCATCAAAATAAACGCCAAGGTCGCAAAACCCCAGACACACGCAAAATGGTAGTGGAACCAAGAACATAGGTATTTAAAATCGACTCCCACTTTCTACAGATTGATAGCACTTTAGTTTTATTGGGATTGATTAACAAAAATGTTTGCAGAGCACCAGTGAGGCATGCGTGACACGTTGTCTTGTAAGAGTGCAGTCATTGAGTGACCAAATCTAAAAAACAGCTTCAGACAGAAATTGTTGGTGTTGAGAAAGCAACGGTTTTTCTTTTTTCCTGTGACCAAGGAAGCATGTTGGGGCATCATGAGTAAGGTTTTGGTTTTTTTTCTAGGTTTATTTTTCTTCACATTAGGTGGTGTTTCTAAGGAGTTTATTTCATCCCCCAAAGGAGGTGTTTTTTTTATGTATAATTGCAATGTTGGACAAAATATTGTTGGAGAAAAAATTGGGGCTTATGTTGAAGAAAACAGGACACAGGCGCAGGATTCCTCAACCTCCAGGAAACTTCCGGTACCGAAATGAGAAGGAAACCACGTACCCTGAAGAAAAATGTAGTCTTGGGAATGGTTCAGTGTGGGCACTGAAGTATGTACCAACTCGCCCAAGCTTCAACTTTAGCACGAAGTAAACACAAAGGCGGTGATAAACGTCGGATTGGTTGAGGGTTTTGCAGTTGAGCAGTGTGTATATGCAATGTTTGCTGATTAAACAGTTGAAAGTTAGTGCTCTGTTTTGGCTGTTCTTCCTCTGTCCTTGTCCTAAAGCGCAATCATGTTTTCTAATGCACAATACCAACTCGCCCAACGGTCAGCACTAGTACAAAAGAAAACTCAAGATTTCTTCCAGTGAAACTTTTGTTATTCAAGGGCAGCGCCAATTCGAGTTTTTCCGTTTTTTTCTGTTTTTCCCGATAATGGTAAAACTGACTGAGGGGTTCATATTCGGAGTTTATTGATATTTACTGAAAACATGAAGCCCTATCCACGAGCAGTTGAATCTTCAAAGCACGAACGACTGTTTACGCATTAGCATCATACTATACTTCTCTCGTCCATCAATAAAAAGGCAACAGTGCAAGGTGTGGTTGAGAGGTTACTACAACTCAACAACGATAACACGAAATGACAGAGTTAGTGCCCGCTACTTCACGTCTTGTCCGAGGTCGTAGTAATGTTTTAATGACTGTGCGTACCATAATGGGGGCACAGATGCGGCCGGACAGGTTGCAAAGTAACCTCCAGAGCTGTGTGCTTGCACCACCGCTTTCTACAATCTAATACCCAACCTCCAAGGCCGTAGTAGTCAATTTCATTATAATGTGACCCCATTTGTCCATCTGATTTCTGTTGAAGTGCAGAGTCACCACACACTCACCTTAATGCTATATTTTGTTGTTACTAAGAGGCTCCTATAATAATGATGCAATAGCATTGTTATTGAGTGAGTACCCCAGAAGCACTAAGAGGTTTCAATATCATGGAACCTGCAGCAAAGTGGTAAGTTGGGATAGATCCTGATCATTGAACTTGATGAGAAACTGCTCAAGGGAAGAGGAGAAAAGGGAGAAAAACATAAAAAAACATGCTGTTTGAATGCTGTTTTTCATCATGTTCATGATGCATTTGCACACTTTACAAAAATGTTTAGTTGAAAATAATAAACGAGCCAACCTTGTGACAGAAAAAGATGGGAAAGTTGCAACACAAACCACTTACGGACTGCTGCTGAGCAACACGGCGTCGATGGCAAGCATCAGACCGTCGGGTGACAGAACCTGCAGAGAACACGCCGACAGGCCCGTCAGCCGTTTGACTGGTGGCACGCTGACCGAGAGGCGACCGCAGCATACCTGTGGCAGGCAGTCCGCAAGGCTTGGAACGAGCAGGGCGTTGCAGTACTCCAGTGGGCTCACATTGATCACCACACAATGTCCTGGCTATTGAAGTATGTACAAAACAGGTTCGGTAAATGTACAACTGGCACTTGTGTGTAGAGAACAGTTTCATCAAGCGACAAACTCAGCTCTGCACGTGTCTGCCTGCTTCGAATTAATGAGCAGACACAAATAAGCTCGGAAATTGAATATCAATGTTGCCTATGCGTTGTATTTCGCAGCTTATTTTGGCCTTTTGGTAGCTCAATAATGTTATTGCTTAGCCTGCCTTCATATTGTAAGGTAATTGTTATAGGCCAAGGAGCCTTCATGCAGTTTGTCTTGGCATGGCTACTCTAGCTCGTTGTGCTCCCCATGTTATGCATGTGTTCAGGACCCATATGCCAAAATATCACTTTTAAAAATTATTGGTGCTTAAACTCAACCAAAAATAACTCTGCTCAAAGGTGTATTTGAGCGGGCACTTTCACCCATAGACATTGAATATAAATCCTGGCACTGTTGACCAAACTCCCCACAGTTTAAAAGAACACAGTGTGGTCACTCCCATATTTCATGGCCCATGCTTCGGAGACATATTACATTTTGGCAAGCATTGTAGACATGTATGTTCAGTGGTGCAAGGCATGTCAGCATGCTAAAATAATTTATGCAGAAGGAAGGTCCACATTATGGCACCCCAATGCCATTTCAGGTAACAAAAGAAGAAAAAACCTTAAATCCCAAGACCAAGGTCAGAAAAGTGTGGATTTTATGTGTGAAAAGTACAGGGCATCTCTTTCAAATGCCTCTAGCATGTGCTCTATGCCGTCAATCGTGCTTCGGCTACACATGCTGTCGTTATGGACGGTAGTAAGCTCGCACCGGGGCCGGGACAACTCATAGACCTCCCTGTCGTAAGAGAGTTTTAGTAGAGCGTAGGCTGCAGAGGCTCCATGCATGCTCCAAAGTGACGGCACGAGCTCCCGCTGGAGGAGCGAAGCTTTAGCGTACTAAACGTCCCTATCCTTGTCTTGAAAGGAAGCAGAATATAAAGTAATTTCTCATTATAACAAAATCGCCTTTTTCAAATTATCGCTTTTTTTGAAGTTCAACATGGTTTCGACCGAAATGCACGCGTTTTTAACCGGATAATTCCAAGTATATCGGCGGCTGACCACGCTTATCACGAATCTTGAGGTGCAGAAAGCACACAAGCTTACAGAGGCGCATGAAGACTTTTGCGTTCCCTCCCCCTTCTCCATTGAGGCAAACAGCAAACTGGCAAAAAGGAGTAAACGAGTGAAGGAGGGCAGAGCGCACAGAGTTCCGCTTCCGATGGCGATGCGCCGTCGGAGCAGCGGGAGCAGTGTCAACGTTCCGACGCTACTCACGGCACCCGCGGCTGACGCTGCTTGACTCCTGTCGTAATCGGGTCAAGGGAGCGATAGAGTCAGAAGGGATCATCCCATCGGGAGCCCCAAACGCATGTGCCTGCAGCGTACTCCACGCATACGTGCATCGTATGGGAGATTGGGAGTGTTTACCAAAAGTCACTTAGATCTGCGAGGTTGAGGAAAGTGGCCGGCCCAAATACCAAATCATCAAAGAATTCTACCATCCAGCATTGGCTGTTTGACACTGTCCACCATTTTGCAGAACAAGCAAGGAATATTGGATGGGTTCGATAAGTTTCTCATGCAGAAGAAAACGCACCTGCGACTCAAGGATGAAAGACTGACAACTGCTTTGCAAAACAATTATTTTTTTACTCAGTAAAGCTGCCGCAAGATAATCATAACCAAGGTTTCTTTGAATAAATATATGGTCAGAGTGTTCCGCAGTGTACCCATTCACTTTCGAGGCTGCTGGCACTGTTTTTTAGGCTCTATCGCTTTTATCGAAGTACCGCTTATATAGAATTTTTTACCGTCTTGTTGACTTTGTTACAATGAGGGATTACTGTACTCACCTTAGTAGCTGTGGAACATTTGTCAGTTTTCCTCAATTCAAATAGGACCTGTAGAGAAGCAAAAGATGGTTGCAGCGTATGCTTCCAAGTATGCACAACATGCCTGCTCAATGGAACCGGACACACCTCGGAGTCTTTAACCCTGGTGAAGTTGAACAGGTCAGGGTTGAAAGGCATGACCACAGAGGACACATGTTGGGGTTTCCTCCTCTCCTGAGCCCTCTTTATGTTCAGCTGCGCACAGTCATTTCGAAAGACAAAAGAGAGTGCACATCAAAAAAAGGATTCTGCAATGGACACCGGGTCTTTGTCTTAGATGTCAAGTATTTAATCTATCGCACCTTTTAAGACATTGTTAATGATAAAATGACTTTACTTGGGCTTTCCATCCCACAGTTTCACCATGTAGTGTATCGTACTGGCGTACCATACCACTGTTTGTCCGCATTTCTCGTTATAAACTCGGTTTTAGAATAAAATCCCTATTACGATATTCGTTAGAAGATAAATTACCCTTTCCCAAAGTCATTGAACAACCAATTACACTGATATCATTACAGCATCATTGTCACAGAAGTGATGGCAGCTAATGATGCTACTAGTAAGTACTATCTAGCTTCACCAGTACTCGAAACTCCTCCAAAAACCAATACGAGCAGCGGCAAACAGCTGGAGTCTCCGCAAGCAGACGACGCAAGGAGAAGTGTAGGCTCCCCGATGTTCTCGAGCTTTGCGAGCCCCTTTTCCTATCCCAAAAGCTCAAACTATTAATTAAACTCTACGTATTTGAACGGCGGAATTTATTCATTACAACCACAACAATAACCAAATCATAGAGCACACAGAAACGAATTTTACTTAATTCAATATGCAGGTCGACACCATTGTGAGGATTATGCACGTTTGGTCCGCCTCTGGGAAGTGGAAAGAAGGCTTTAGCTACTTGAACTGCATTGTAAAAACTTACTCTTTATGTACTAAGGACAACGCGATAATCATGTGCTTCCTACCTGAACAGGTGATGACACAAAAAAGGCTCGAGGTACACCTAAGCACTTCTTATGAGCTGTGAATGTGAAAGCACGCACGCCGCTCTTCGCTCCATTCTTTAATCTGCGGCGTAAAACGCGCTGACCTTGGGCGTGAAACGGTAGCCGCTGCCTCGCGAACACTCAGCACCATCGGGTGAGCGATCGTTCAAACTGTCGTGTGCCTTGCGGCGCGAGGAAGGAACAGACAGCAACATAGCTCCCAGCAGAACGAATCCCTTGGTTTATTCCATGCGCCGTATATATTGCCAGGAGCCGTAAAATCGATAAGAGGCGAGCGAATGCGGTGATCAGTGATAACACAACAGTGTGATAACACAGTCAGCATGACACCACACAAACTGACGCGCAGCAGCCAATGGGAGCCTCGTCGACGCGCGCCAGCCACTGGGACTGAAGTGTAAAAGGTGCCGTTGGCTAGCTTTGCGCATGGTTTCAAAGCTGATGACGTCGGCTCGCTCCATGAGACAAATAATGCTTCCGCATTAAAACTGTCAGAGGTAGTGGAGGCAGGCTAGCAGCAGACATGTTCACACACACACCTCTCCACAGCAAAAGTAAAATTAATGTGCAAATACTTGACAAACATTGCAGTTTTCGGTGTGAAGCATGACTGAAAGCAAAAGAAACATTTAGGAGGCTCAATTCCAGACAGATAAAAATAAAAAGCAATTGCGAACAAAAAAAAAGTTTGTAGACCACACAAATGTCTCGGCACGGTCAGCTAGCTGGTTTGTGCCTTCCTTTGTCACTCCACCATAATAAACAAAACTGTTGACTTTGTAAGTGGACTTGTTAAAGTCGTATCACTGTTTTAGTTTTATCTCATCCAAAATGGGAACTCCAAATGTCAGGGGCTTTGTTGTGCATCTACTTTTGTATAGCTCCTGAAGCCATATTTACATGGTAGTATGCCCCTTAATATGTGTCAAACAGCTCATGCTTGGCAGTGGCAGCATTTTAAGGTCGTTTAGCAGCTTGTATGCCCTTAGACTTGTAATTCTGACAAGCACACAGTTGAGCAACCATTCTGCACTGTACTTCATCCCACATGGTACTTTTGCTTTGATCTGTTGAAATGTCATTAATGCGAGCCGTTGCAGCGATGGATGGCCGCCTAAATACTTCTCAACACACTCCTCTGAAGTCTTCTCAAGTTTCTCCCTCAGGTCCAAAATCCCTTTCTTCTTTTTTCCACGAGCTGCCACCGCTCGGAGCAAAGCTCTTCTTAGGTTGCGTGTCTTCAGCTTTCCAACATTCTTTTCTTTTTGTGTGATAGTTTCGCTTGCACCATTTTTCTACACAGTCCCAGGCACTTAGGGCAGATCTGCAGCAGTGACAAAACAAAAGCATCTCTATGGTGCATTTTTTCACTGCTAAGTGATTTGGGCTTACGCCTTCAGATTTTCAGTGCATTTGCGTCAGTACACTTCTGACGTGAGCAGTATCTTTGATGTCATATGACAGCTGCTTGTGACACTTGCTGTAGCCATTTACTATGCAGTGTAAGCGTTCATCAAAAACAACAGTCTTCTGGACAAGTAGGTCACCTTGCACAAGGTGACGGGTGTAGAATATTCCACAATTCTTGCCTGCCGCTTTATCATCCAACGGTTGAAAGGCCCACTGCCCTGATGGTAAAATGACAGTTAATAAATGATCCATAGTAAGAGTAACACCGGCTTTCGAGCTTTCAATCGCTTCTTGTTTCTGAAGGGCATCGCACGCATCCGAGAAATTCTTTGCCGACGAATTCAACCCCGAGTTCACACATAGTGTAGCGCATTTCTTGGACGATTTTCTCTTCAATGTCGAGCGTTTGGGCTTCAACAAAGGTCTGAAACAAACAAGGGATTGCACCTGGAGCTTGCTGCCACTTCATACCAGGAACAACTTTACCACCGATAACATGACGGTAGTGCTCTATGACATCTTCGAAGTTCACGTCACAAACTTTACACTTTGCAGTGAGTTTCCCGTCTTTTCTGAGCAGAGCTTGTTCCCACCTTTTCAAATCAACAGGGTCTCTCGGCGGCCCCCAAAAAATGGCACCGAGCTGAGGCATCGACGAGGTAACCACTCTCGCACCTCGGCGCAAAACGGATTAGCATGGCACACCGTGTCGGAGTTGGGACTAGGCTACACAAAACACATATTTCAAAACGCTCGCAAGATGAAGTAAAATGCGAAGCTAGCACAAAACAAGCAAACAAAGCAGAACAAGAGGTGCAAAAACGAGCATCCATCGCACGCTCAGCAGAGCGGCTCTAGGAGCCAGAACCAATACTTGACTGCAGCGACACTAGTTCTCGCGATCGCCGCGGAGCCCACGTTTCCAGGGGAGCTGTGTAACCGAGCTAGTTCTAGTAACATTGCTCTGTAGCGTCCTTTTTTTTGCACGCGTGAAGAGCTGTCTAAACAGGACACATTTCCTGCAGTCCCAGCATTTCCTTATTTGCTTGACTGGAAGTGAAGGTTTTCCTCCAGTTCCAATCCACTTTAGTATGTTTTGCTTTGTTTTTGCTGGGGGGAAACTATCCTTGAACTAAGGCTTGGAGCATGCCTGTCAGGCGGGTCCGGACAGCCACTCACATGCTTTGTTTGCTGCCGTCAACGTCTCCAAGGAAAGCCATACTATTTGTGGGGTTGATGTCGTTATGTATCGAGTGGTACGGTGGCGCCATCTAGCGAACAGACGGCAGATCCAAAACACCGCACCACCCTGCGGAGCCGGGGCAAGTCATGTTTGCGCGGGCTCGCACTCATGGACGTGGCAGCCAAGCTGTCCATTGTTATTCTGTAACCATACATTTTCCATGTTTAAATAAACAGTTATGTGATCCTGTCATACTATTGTTGCAGCCAGGATCTAACAGGTGTCTTAGCTGAAAGTGTACACGCCGGAACTTTCACGCTTTTCAGGAAAAGCATGCAGTTTTTTTTATTGTGCATGGCATTTGCTGTATCCTGTTTGGACAGCCTTTGAGTCACTCTTCTCTTCTCTTTTTTCTCCACACGTGAGAGTGGCGAGTTTTTATTTAAACTTAGTTTCTCGTCAATTGAGCAAACAAGTATATTTATCCGATAATGACCTCACACCCAGCAACGGTTCCTGCTGTCCTTGACCTCTTCAGTTAACGACAGTTGTGGCGAGATAAGCCAACTGCCTATTTGGCAAGACAGGAGCAAAACATTCCTGAAGAACAGTGATATCAACGACAAAAGTTTGATGGATTGAGCAATGAGAACGGCATAAAGATAAATTTGCTTCTTGTCTCCTGTACAGAAACTGTGATATTAAAGCGCTTTCTTAGGAAGAAAGGTTAAATTCCACACGAAAAGCGGTAATACGATTCTCACAGAAAAAGTATGTCCTGTACTCATGCACTTGTAATTGTTTTCTATAGCAATCAAGGGGCGAAAAGCTGCGATAGAGCTTTTTTCTTCGTCAGCTCGCACGGAGAAAGGCAAAGCCAATGAATGCATTGTGAAGAGTTAGTCTGCTAAGGGAGACTCCAAGCTCACCAGGAGCACTGTTTTCCACCTTATTTTTGCCTGTGGCACAGGAGTTTCCAGCATTAGCCTTTAAGGTGTTTGGTACTACTATTTGTTGTAGCTGTCACAAGCCATTTGGTGCTGATATTGTTTGTTTATTTATTTATTATTCAGTTACCTACAGCGCCCTCGCTAGGGCATTACTGTAGGGTCCGGGAGACAGTGCAAAATTTACACAAATGCAAAGTACATATAAAAAAACAGAAGACTGAGTGATGTGGGAGGATTCATAATGACAGCAATAGCAAAATAGGTAGATGACAACACCACAGCATCTTTACAATAAAAACACCAAAAAAAGAAAATAATGAAGTATTAACAGCAATCAAAATACCTACTGTAAAATACCGAGCAAGCGCCCACTCAATATATGAACATAATCGCAAAAAATAGGGGATGGGTGCCCATGTAAGGTCACCAATTTAATGCTGTACTTGGTTTCACATAATGATTGACCGCGGAGGATGCCACGAGCCATTGAAGCCAATCTAATGCTGTGTAAGAATCAAGGTGACCTTTGGGAGCGGCGAAGAGATGTGTTCACGGCAGTATGGGTTACGCGTTACTGTAACTTCGTTACTTTTATTACTTTTATCTGTAATGCGCTATTGTTTCGATGTGTAACTTGACTCTAGTTCTGTTACCTTCTGTGAGGTAATGACAAGAGTAACAACATTACTTTTTGTTACTTTTCACAGTTTCTTCAGCATTAATGTGTCACTGAATGAGTACAATCTAGCCATTCCTTGCGCTTTTCAAAGTCTGTGTTCCGACATTTTAAGTGTCGAGCTCGCCTTGTGCCAACCTGCACCAACTTTGCTTGCACCCTACTTTTTTTCTTGATTTGTAGTCTTATGGAAAAGTAACTTAATGGCCGCCACTACTACTTTCCAAAAGTAGCTTTACCTGTAACAAATTACTGTTTTGTTGCGATAACTGTAACGGTAACTTTGCTGCTTTTATCTGACAGTGACTATAACTGTAACAAATTACTTTCTGAAAGTAACTTACCCAAGGCTAGTACACAAAACTGGAGTGGCTAGGTCGGCTCGTAATTTGCTGCGGGTCATCGACCGGAGTATACAAACAGTATCAAATGGGAACTGCCTGTGTGGATCTGTGTGACCCCATTTCTTCTGACCTGGTACTTTTAGCACTTCATAAAGAGGGACTTAGCTTGCTTTGTTTTTCCTCTTTAGGTATGTTTTGGGGACACAGGTCAGCATGTCAGTATATAAGCACACCGTCATAGGTTGGTTTGATTTCTTTAGTACCCGGAATAAATTCCGAGGCAAGCTCAAGAAACATGCTCCGAAATGGGCAATGACCCAATCTAAAGATAACGATGGCGGAAGTGCAAACAGAAAATAAGGATTGAATGCCACTCCTCTGTTGCATCTCTTCCGTGGCGTAGCCAGGGGTGCTATGTTGCGCTTTTTGCACTCCCAGGAGACTTGGAAGAGGGAAGTGACGTCAACGACTAGAGCAAATGCAGATTGGATGTTGACAGAAGTAAACAAAATCAACATCCAATCTGCATTTGCTGCGTTGTTGACGCCACTTCCCTCTCCCTAGTCCCCTGGGAGTGCAAAAAGCGCAACATAGCCCCCAGGGGGGAGGCTCTCCTCCGCATCCCAAGTCATGGACACCCCCAGCCCTCTCCTCTCCTCTCCCCTCCCTCCCCCCGAAAAAAACTTCCTGGATACACCACTGCATCTCTTCGTGTAGACATTTCGATCCTCTGCCGGTGTAGCGATGCAAGCAAATAAAGTACAGTTTCTTAGTTAATTAATACCGCTCCTCTTCCTTGCAGGCCATTCGTATTAAGAGAAAGAAGCTGAATACATTAAAAATATGTATGCGAACGGTTAGGCTGTGCCGTCCGTGATGGTTACCTGAGCCACGAACCTGTATTTTCCGGGCAGGATCCTAGTTTCCAGCTTGTCCAGCCTGTACCAGAAGTGGCCCTTCTCCATCGCGTTGTCCCACCGCGACCGCAGCAATCGGTCGAACCGAGACGGGCTCGTCGGAGAGGCATTTATCTCGTAAACCAGGTCGTCGTCGTCGTACTCGAACATTGCCAGCTGGATCTCGATGTATCAGGTCGCGACAGCCTTGGAGACGATGCTACGGCGTATTATCAGTATTATGCTGAAAGTTCGTGAAATGCTAACGTAGCCAGTATAACGTAGGGCACTGCAGCAACCCACAAGAGTTTTTGATCGGTGATGTCAACGTGCAGTGGTAAATAACAAATCGTAAACGCAGAAAAAAAAAATAATAAAATTTGATTTTTTGGTTGGATTGGATTGGATCGAATCGAAGACAAGTTTCGACCATTTGGTTGAAACTTGAATCGAAACTATGGTGGCTCGTTTTTCCCCTCCTATCCTCTGGCACTTCTCTTTTCCCTCAATCCCTGCTGACTGGCCCAAATCACAGTTCCCGGGAGTTCGTTTCACGACCATCTCTTGGTCGTGGTTCGTTTTATTTTCATAATCGTGATGATGATGATGATAATAATAATAATAACAATATTATTATTATTATTACTATTATTATTGTTATTATTATTAATTGTATCTGCGCTTGGAAGGGCGCGGGTGGTATGTGCGGTGGTGTGCGGGGCTGGACAGATAGGTGAGAACTGCCAGCCTGCCACCACCTGCGAAAAAACAAAACAGTAACATAAACAAACTAATCACTATAGGTTGTTTGCACATGACGTCAATCCGCCATTTTGTTGTTAGTTTGTTTTTTCAAACAAATTTACTACATTGAAAGATTACATCGTAACCGGTTGAAATGATGTCAGCGGTGCTCTACGCATTTGAGAAGGCATGCAAATCCTTGAAATGCTCGAGTTTGGCACACGCCACACAGATCGCAACAACAAAATGGTGGACGAAATTACGTCAGTGAAAACACCCTATAACACACGTAATCACTGTGATAAGGAGGGGGGTGAGCTTTGTGTTGATCACAAGAATGCCAATGAAGCCCATACACCGCAAATAAACTGCATGAGCTGCACACCAACCACCGCTCGCGTTACCTCTCATAAAAGCTCAAAGTATCGCCGACACGCGATAGCTCGCAGAAAAAAAGTTGCAGCGCTGTCGAAGGACTCGCCAACTTGCTCCCGAAACGCATGTCGTACTACACCTACAATCGCAAGCACAACACCCCCTCCCCCCCCCCCCCCCCCCCCCCCCCCTCCTTTTTTTTTTTTCACTATGTTTTGGAGTTGGGGCTTTTTCGATTTCGCCAGCTGCAAACACGCAGCCTGATTTGCTCGCATTGAAACTAGCGCTTTCGATGTCACACAAACGCGTTTGGCGTGCGGGTCGTCCTTTCACCGAGACAAGCAATTTAATTGGGCGGGCGGACACCATTCTCTTCCTCAACCTCCTCACATCGGCGAAACTCGAAAAACAACTTTGCGCGTTCGCTTGTTCCGCGTTTTTCCCCACGTGTCTAGGGTCAAAAGGTTCTTCTGCCTGCCTTGCGATAAGAAAGCGAATATGCTGTAGTGCATTTTGGCTGTACGCGCCACGTACGCGCAGTCGACCATTCCGAGCAATAAACTCCTGCGTCGTTGTCAAGATAGCACGCTAACATGACGATAGTCGAAACTTTCAGTGCACTCGTGTCAAAGAACAGGGGGTCTTATGATTTTTCGAAGCCATCTCGAGTAAGTGCGTTATTATTACTTCAATTTTGTCATTTAAGCGAGTTCGGTGAGGTTTTCTCCTCCGTCGTCTGCTAGTTTGTACCTCGTGGCGGCAGGATCGTACGATTGTCATCACCATCATCACTCCCGTCTGTCTTGTTTAATCTTTCATTCTTTTTACGGTGCCGGCATTCTAGCGCGATGCCAAATATGCCGCATAATCAAATGGTCCGAAACACTGCGATTGATGCGAAATCACTCTTCACCTTGTGATTTTATTAACGCGGAAGTTTGACCACCGTCCAAGATGCTCAAGACCATCTTTGGTAGATCCACGACCATTTACGTGAGTGGGGTGAACCAATTGGGTGAACTCGTCCATATGCGCCGGGCGCTCGCCGTATTTGGGAAGAGGGGAAAAAGAAATTGCAGATCACGACAAACAGTGGCTTGTATCAGTCGAGGGAACGAGACGTGCGTTTTGGCGACCCCAGCAGTCTGTCTCTCCCTTGTTCACAGAAACTTCAAAAGTTCGTTAGTGGCTGCAACCGGTAAAAGGAAATCGTTAAAAAAAGAAAAAAAAAAAAGGGGTTGCTGGCGTTTGTTCGAAAATTTATGATTTTATTCGCCGGCATTACAAAGCAAGCTTAATGACGGGCGTGTTATTATACCGCCAATTGTCGGTTAAGCGTGCCAAAAAAATACAATAAAATAAAGGTTTTTAGCATTAACATGCCTAAAGCACAACTCCACGTAGCTTCAGCGTTTTTTCTGCTTGGAGCGCACGCTGAAAAGCTCTCTGCGCTGAGTCGGAGCGTCTGGATAGAAGATGCTGACCATGTGGCGCTCTCCGGAATGCCTGCATGCACAACCGTACCTGTCGCGAGCCGTCCAATTGTCCTTTCTTACGCCCACTGGCTCCGACTCGAAATTTGCGCATATCACGGCGGACAGCACAATACGTCTTCCAACGAAACGCGACGTGCTGCAAGAAGTGGCCGTGCAAACACCACGTGTTTTGCACGACCGATCTAAATTTGAGGAATAAACCGAGGATGAAACGACTTACCTGAGAGCAGCTGGGGATTCGAAGGCAGAGGAGGAGGGTACGTACGGCTGTTTGTTTTAAAGCACGAGCGTGTGCCGGCCTCGGTGGCGTGGCCCGTCAGCTGCGCTAACGCGGGCGGTACGTGTGGAGCGCTCTTCTAGCGGGTTCCGAGTTCCCGCCTGGTAGGATCCGCCTCCTTCCTCGATAAAAGTCGCTATCTCCCTTCGCATCCGGCGCTCTTGAAGCAAAAAGGAGAGGTTGCTTCGAAAGCTGTCTGGTGAGCATCATGGAAAGATCATCACCCGGCACCTCAGAGTCTTCTCTCATTCTAAAGGATAGCCTAAGCGGTGAACCTGCCAAGTATGGATCGGTGAGTGATTGTGGGGAGCTTGTGACGAGGTCAAACGTCATTGATGTCCCTCGGGCGCTTCTAGGAGCCACGGCCAAGAGCTCTCCTTAATTTCCATTTTGGAAGTCTGTCAGTATTTTAAATGCTAGTCCGGAAGTTTTGAACATGTGAAGAGCTGTGTGCGGAGCTGCTTTTATGAGAAACAGTGCAGCTGTACGACTGATAGCCTCCGTACACATTGTAGTCTGCTCGAAGGGATCTGTCTAACTCTTGCAGTATGTTTTTATATATGTTAATACCAACAGTGTAGCACACAGAGAGAGATGAGTAGTCAGGATTGGTGAATCGACTTAGTGCAGCTGGCTTCGGAAGTTATTGCGGGGTGCTTTGGCAACAGTTGACGGAAATTCTGAGAATGGAATAACCGTGGTTTCCTGCATGCGATCGAGCTGTACTCATAGTTTACATGTACATCCTTTTCTGTTGTACCTGTGTCCATGCTCTTTTGTCACATTATTCAAGCTGATGGAAAAGGAAGAGTTTAGCAGTGTTTGAGGAGAAAGAAGTCGGCTCACTGTCTTCCTTTACAATATATTATTAAAGTATTTAATGTTTAAAGGGGTACTCCGCCGATTTTTGAGCTACCTCAACTAACTATATTTTCTGACTTCCCGGCCTTTACCCTTTCTGGTATGCTATTTAGTATCGTGAAATTCATAATAGTTATTGCGAAATCAGCAAATGAAAATGATGCAAAAACAAACATTCAAATATACCCGCTCTTTTCAGGGCCATGATGTCAGTGGAAGGTTAGCTTACCAGTCGGGCGAGCAGTCTAAAAAATAGAATATGCCAATCATTTGTTCCGTGCTGGAGCGCGGGGTCTGAAGCGAGCTTCCAAAGCATTCATTTGACACCATGAAACTGCTTCGAATCAGTTGGGAACAAATTCTACAGTCCAAAGAGTGAACCCCTGCACTTCCAATGACGTCACTTTTTCGTTGTTGCCAATAGAAACTTTCAGTTTGAAAAACACGGTGAGGACCAAAATTGTAAATTCAATAACTTTGTGAAAAAAAATTATTTTGACCTAATATTTGGGATACTATTTTGGCGATGTTGTTTGGCGAGTTTAGCAAAATTTCAAGCAAATCGGGGACCATGAAAAAATCAGCCAAGTAAAAATGGAAAAAAAAAAAAAAAAAGCTTTGAGTTGTTTTTGCAGCAGTTCTTCCAGTATCCAAACTTTAGCTTGAATTTTACTCCTCTATTTGCTCTGAGTTGAAGAGCAGTGTTACAAATTGTTTCAACTTCCACATTCAATGCAAGAAAATGGTTACAAAAGTTCTACACTTTTTAGGCTCACACTACCTATCGTAGATAACCCCTAGGCACAACTACAATTGTAGTAAAGCAGCAAGTGTCGAACTTTGGACAGAGTGACACCTCTTCTGAAGTAACACTTTTATTTGTTTGCGCACGCATTTAACTTGGGCCGGGAGCAAGACACGATAAGGAGGCCATAGCGGCCACAGGCTGCTCGCGAGACATCCTGTTATTCGTCCGAAACCTCGCATTGCACAGGTGTAGGCTGTCCCGCACGCTTCCAACCAGGCTCATCCATTTCTCGGCTGAATATAGCAGGGATTGTTCTCGCGCTCGTTGACTGTGCAAGTGCAAAGCTGGCAGGTTTGCTCTTGGAGCTGCGAGGATGCGCTGTTCTTTGTTTTCTTGTTTTCAAGCTACACGCAAGTTGCTGTTGGTTCTGTTTGTTAAGGGATCACACTCTCAATAAACGATAAAAGCGTGCACAAAAAAATGCAACATCGTTAAGAAATAAAGAAAAAAGGCGATTAGTTAATGCCTCTTTAAATAGATAAATCGACCATAGAATGCTCAAAAATGGTTCCACTCGGGTGAAGTTCTCGGTGCGAAGGAGTCGATGTAAGCTGACGTTTCACAGTGAGGTGTGCCAACATTAAAATGGTGATAGACACATTGAGATATCATTTGAGGGGTAAAGAAATAGTTTGTTTTTTAGTAAAGCTTCAGAATTATCAGTTTTGTAAAAAAGGCACAAACGTCAATGTAGGTAGGCTTCCTACCTACCATGACGTTTTGTCGTCTGGTGCGCCTGGAACGCGCAGCCAAAGCACGACTGGGCCGGAGACCGGACGCCTGAAAGACACACCCTGCTGTTCTCACTAGTGCTGTACGAAACGGTGTTCCTGGAACACCTTTCCAGGAACACTTAGAAGGAAGGAAGGAATGCCGCCGTTCGATTTTGCATCGGTGGAACTAAAACGAGAACTCGTGACATTTTTACTGGAACTGAAAAAGGAACAGCATTCCTTTTTTTCGTCCAGTTGTGTAATTTTCATTTTATTTCTAAGAGGGAAATTCTAAACGTATAAAAGCAATATTTTTACGAAGAGCAGGATCTCAATAACTTTTTGGTTATTTATCCTAGGGTTTATTTTGTGTGGTCCTCGCTTGGTAACAGTGGGGTGCAGGAGAGATAGTGGACATTGATTCTTTTTCACTGCCTGAGACTGCGTACAAAAAGCAAAACTTTTAGTCGAAGGAAATGAGGGACGTTTCAAACTCAGCTACTTTCTTTGCTTCCACGAATCGTCATGTACCCAGAAATCTAAGGCCGACTACAGCCATCACTGAACTTCCATAAAGAGACCTACAGTTAAAACAAAGGAACAGGTTATCAGACATCGAACACACCCTTGTATCCCGAACATACTCAAAAAGTAACCTTTATTCCTTCTCCCCTTGTTCCCCACCTTCAAACTGCATAACGAATCCAGCCTTCACAAAGAAGTTTTCATAGTTTTTAAGACTGACCTTCCCAAAGCCCAACAAGGTAGAGGGGCTTAGGGCGTTAAACTGGTATCGCATTCACTAGGCAAAAGTGACTCCCACTTGGCTGCCGCCATGTTGTATTATTTTGACCACTAGACAGATGACCATATTAAATCCTGAGACTTTTACGCAAAATTCAGCCAAAATTTGTATTGCGATCGCCGTAAAAAACATGCTAAGCTATTTTTTCAGTAATGTAAAACCCAGAGATCAGTGTCTAGCTCCGAAAAAAACCCAAAACACAGCACCGTGGCTGACGGCATCTAGCAGAGGCATTGCGAAGCTGCCAGAGTTTTTGTCGTAAAAACACATTTTGGACTTAAAACAAACGAAACATAACTTATTTCGTCGGTATTGCTATTAAACATCAATAAGTACTTCATCAAAAATCAAGATGTAAAACTATAAGGCTACGTGTAGAGTGCTCAAAAATGTGCAACATGGCAGCGGCCAATTGGAGGTCACTTTAAGGCACTCCACCTTGTTGCGAAAGCCCTACCGTCTTCTTCACTTGCTCGTCTTGCGGACAGCTTCGAGACGTGGCTCGTCTGAATCGCTCACCACAAACAAGAATATAATTAAAATCTGATATTTTTAAAGGTGATATATCAACAAATGAAACCCTGCTCCCACTTGTTTTCTTCTCCTGGTGCCCTTCCATCACAACATTCGAATTCATATATTTCCATTTATTAAAATAAATAAAAAAAAATTTTTTTTTTTTTTTTTTTTGACGGTTACGTTACATTAGCAAAATGCCGGTGTAACGTATAGACCTTTTTCGCAAGGACGCCGCTATCTTGAATTGTCGTCACTTCCAGTATGGGCGAAAACATTGTTTTGCTGTCGCCACCCCCAATATTTTACATTTGGGACATAAACGTAACCGTCACACATTCTCGTTTTGCCTCCCCTCTATTTTTTTACTGTTTGCGGGTTGAAACGTTCTGATATTTTTTCGTCGCCCATACCAGATATGCCTACTTGGCGGTCGGGTGCGAGAGTAAGCGGAAAAGGTCTATACGTAACAATACATTCCCTCTTTTTAACTGTAACGGGAACAAGTTCCTTTTTCACATATGAAACTTGTAACGGAAACGTGTTCCAAAAATCAGAAGGAACGAGAAACAATCTCTTGCTCTTTTTTTTGAAGAATGTGTACAACACTGGTTCTCACTCTGGTAATGGCTATATTGGTACGATAATTATAGCGCCAGAGTCGCCGCCGGGAACCTTTCTTCCATCATTCTCCCTTCCAGTTAATTCGCTCCTTAAAATTCTGTAAGTTACGAGTAAGTTTCGAAAACTGCTCAGTCAGTCCGCTCTACAGGCCACCTGACTCTCGGGCAGAGTTCATTGACTGCCTAACAGAAAGTCTAAATCAGGGGTGGCCAGGCTGACTCGGCCTAAGAGCTGCAAACAAAACCACGAATCGTCCAAGAGCCGTATGGGGGGGGGGGGGGGCTTGGGCGGGGCGGGGCGGGGCGGGGCGGGGCGGGGCGGGGCGGGGCGGGGCGGGGCGGGGCGGGGCGGGGCGGGGCGGGGCGGGGCGGGGCGGGGCGGGGCGGGGCGGGGCGGGGCGGGGCGGGGCGGGGCGGGGCGGGGCGGGGCGGGGCGGGGCGGGGCGGGGCGGGGCGGGGGCAGGGCGGGGGCAGGGGCAGGGGCAGGGGACAGGGCAAAGGCAAACTTTTGTCCAGAGCAATAAACGAAACTCGAACTATGTTCAATCTATCCGAGTCAAAAGCAGTCCAACTGTATGTAAGGTAGCAGTAGCGCAAGACTACCTAACCGCAACCTGTCTTTCAATTTAAAACGTGTTACATTTCTCTTTTTGGGGAAGTGCTCATGTGACCGGGAGGGAGGCAAGGGAGTGGGGGGGATAGGGGAGGGAGCCGCGAGTCACACTTTGACACGCAAAGAGCCGCATGCGGCTCGCCACCGCAGCTTGGCCACTCTTGGTCTAGATGGTATACAATTGAAGTTCTCTAAGATACCTGTCTTATTAGCGGGAGATGTTAATTATTTTGGTAGCAACTGGGCAGCAAATGAGGTCTCTAGCAATTGTGCAAACAAGAGAATGGTTGAAGGTTCTTCAAATGGCAAGTTATTTCTGGGCAAATTGTCAAATCTCCAACGCGTGGTGATGA